CTCTATACCTAGAGCAATAGAAGCAAAACATTTCTGTGCTGTGTATCTTCTGAGAAGAGGATTTTTCCCTGTTCCTAGAGATAAGAAAATATACAAAGGGATCATCACAGACTAGGGGAATAGAAGGCTGCCCAGCTAGAATGTATTGTATGTTTGCAGAGACAGTGATCTAATCATATTGACAGTCTTAATGTTGTTAATTTGACATAGTTGCCAGCAACGCATCTCTTTAAAGGAAAATTTTAGAAAGGTTATGTTTGTTCTGTAGTTTTACAGTGTGCCACGTTATAATAGTAGATCTGCAGAAAGTTGTAGAAAAAAGCAAGAGGTTAAGAAGAGCTTAAGCTTTGACAGTGTCAGTGGCTAAATGGCTGTGGAACAAAGCACTTCTTACCACTTCATTTTTCAGAAATTTAGTGGTAAAAGTATAGGCAAGGATCTTAGTCTGATGTGAAAAAGGGAAACCAGTAGAGTGAGTAATACATGTTATAAGTGGCTATAGGCTTGCTGGTTGAAACAACAGCAGTTGAAAATAATTTTTGCAGAACTATTCAAAGTGAGATATAAATGAGGTAAAAATTATTTAGGCAATGTTTGTAAACACAATATAATACTTGTGTGTTGGCAGGAGCCTTGGCTGTCCTTTCTCTCTTGTAGTCATAATATAACTAATATTATTACAGTTCTTTTAAGAGCTGTAAGAAGTTCTTAAAGTTTAATAAGTTCTTTCGTGGACATTATAAAGCAGATCCTGAAAGTATGTGCAGCTTTTTTATGTTGTAGTCTCTGGTCTTGTAGAATTCCAGGTTTCCTCCTTTCAGTGTTTTAGATAACTTTAGAAAGGAAGTAAAAATTTGATTATCAGTCTTAAACATCTGAATAAAATGTTTATTGTGATTCGTCTTGTTCAATTTGAAAGGAGAAGAAAGTATTCTAAGGAAAAAACTGTCAATTAATTTACTCCATCTCCTTCTTTCCTATACTAGCAATAAACTTTTCTCATATAGGGCATATCCTTTGGATGTATGTGCCATGGTTTTGACAAGCATAGAAAACAGCATTTCTGAAAGCAAGAAGATTCATATTAGATGAGAACACCTTGAAGATCAATTCTGGTTATTGAAGATCAAAACTCAGACTGATAATACATAGACTCATTTAGGCTGAAAAAAGATTGAATTCATCTGTTAACCCAGCACCCCTGTGGTTGCCACTAAGCCTGGTGTTGTACACTTCCAGGCATGGCAATTCCACCACTTCCCTGGGCAGTCTGTGCCAATGCCTGCCTACTCTTTCAGTGAAGAAATCTTTCCTAGTATCTAATCTAAATCTCCCCTGGTACAACTTGATTCCTTTCATGTGCTTGTAGAGAGCAGTAAGCTTCTGCTGTGCCTCCCTTTCTCCAGTCTGAACACCCCCACCCCTTTCAGCTACTCCTCAACCAGTTAAGCTGCAGCTCTGTTGCCCTTCTCTGGACATCCTCCAGCACCTCAGAGTCTTTCTTGCAGTGAGGGGCCCAGAACTGGACATGGCATTTGAGGTGTGGCCTCACCAGTGTGGAGAACAGGGGGACGGTCACTGCCCTGGTCCTGCTGGCCACATTTGCTGATCCAGGCCAGGATTCCGTTGGCCTTCTTGGCCACGTGGGCACACGCTGGCTTGTATTCATGACCAGCACCCCCCAGGCCTCAGCCCATTGATTCAGCCTGTCCAGATCCCTCTGCAGAGCCCTTCTACCTTCCATCAGGTCGGCACTCATGCCCAGCTTAGTGTCATCTGCCAACTTAGTGAGGGTGCCCTCGATCCCCTCATCCAGATCATTGATAAAGATGCTAGAGAGAGCTGATCCCAGTACTGAGCCCTGGGGAATACCACTGGTGATCGACCACCAGGTGGATGTAGCTCCATTTACCACCACTCTGGGCCCAGCCAGGTTCTACCCAGGGAGCCCTGGTCAAGCCATGAGCTGCCAGTTTGTCCAGGAGAATGCTGGGGGAGATGGTGTCAGAGGCTTTGCTAAGTTCTGAGTAGGCAGCATCCATGGCCTTTCCTTCATCCCCCAGGAATTTTCTTTGCTGAGAAATGAAGGTTATAAGATGTTTATGGAACATTTCTTAATTTCAGGTAGCTTTGAATTTAGAATATATTTATTATTCCATGTGAAACAATTCAGCCACTGAGAATGCTGGCTGGAGTAACTCAGGAAAATAAGCTTTTAAAAACATAAAAAATAGGCTGAATTTTAAAATTTACATAATAGAAGAAAAATAACTGAAGCAGTTTTTTTATACTTAATTCCTTGCAGGGATGTCTAAAGAGTGATTAAGCATACCTGATGTGAAGTCTAACACAGATACCCTAGGTAGAGCAAAATAAGAATTACAAAACCTTTTACAGCTGTCCCAAAGTTAGCTGAGAATTTGTAGATAGTTCTCCTTGACCTGTCCTGCTCCCCTGTCCCCAGAGCAAGATGAACAGCTTAACACATAGCTGTTCCTGAGAGGGCGGGACCTTGCTTCTTGCTCAGGTGGCTATGGGCTTGTCTGACTCCACAGTGACCTGCATCACCCAGCTGGCTGGGCCAAAAACAATGGGTATAGTTTCATGGTGCAATTCAACTGAATTGTCTGCTTCTGACCAATAACCATGGAATGGAGGTTTGCCTCCTTCTTAAATCTTCCTTCTTTTCCTCCCTCTCTTGACTTATAAACAACATATTCTCCCTTCTGGCTGTGATAGAATTAATCTGACTGCAAAAGAAACCAAGTTCATTGTGCTTACCTAGATAATGTTTGATGCATTTCTGCCAGCTGAGTTTTCTGTCCTTTTAGTGAGTTGAATTTTCCTACTGTGGGGTCAAGACCACTGCACCTTGGTCAGGGCGAGCAGGACCACTTTCCTGGGAGTGAGCTGTAAATTCTGTTCAAACTGCTTTTGAAATTACTCCTTGACTCTCAAGTAAAAAAGAAGTTTCTACCAGTTTGGTTGCTTGAACTGATTTCTCAGGCATTATGTGTATGCCAGTGCATGAAGAGATGAAATTATAAACCAAACATGGAAAATGGGATAGGAACGCCTATTTCAGCTCTCCATATCAGTAGTTGATTTGCAACATGAAATGCTGTGTAAAAGTTTATACTTGAAATATTGAAGCTGATTTTTTTTTTTCACTGTTATATATGCTCAGTTACATGGTTTATTTTGAGGTGCTTTCAATTAACATATTTTAGTACAGAGTACTGCTGTTACAAATACTGCTTTTGTCAGTACCCTTTGGTTTAGGGATCGCTGAGTTAACTAAAGCAACAACACACAAAAGAATCTACTTCTGAGTGTTTATGCAAATTGAAAGTGTGTCAAAATATAAAACACCATGTGAGTAATATATAAATTCTTGTCAATAATAATGAATACATTCCTTTTCCATTGTGTACATGCTTCATATGCTCAAATTATTTGTGTAGCTTTGACAGCTGGTTCTGCATCCATAAGTTGAATCACCTTGTGGTTGTTCCAGACAGCACAAAGGTATAACAGGCAACCTTTTCTCCAGTTTCCTCTTCATCATAAGAGTTCAGTCTTGTTTGTGTACTTGATGTCCTGTGTTCATGTAAGTGTAGTTCAAATGAGTCTCTTTTAGATAAATTTCAAAAATTCTCTGCTAGATTTATCCTTCTCTGAGAGCCAGTGTCCCTATGACTGGTGCATTGTAATTGAATACATATGTATTCCTTCACGGTTTTACTACAAGGTGAAACATGTCAGTTTAAATCACTTTCAGTCTTCAATCTAAGTTGTTTTACTTAGCTCACATCTTGACTGTGAGGGCAATCTCATCTGATTTAGGAGAGCTAACCAGTTGGTGCAAATTAATACCTCACAAAGTGATTTCTTTGTTATTTTGTAATGAAGTAGCACTCATTTCTGGCACTCTGGATATCAACAGTACAATATTTTATTGCTAGTATTTTATTTAAAAGAAGAAAACATTGATAAGACACATTGCCTTCCTTGAAAGTTCCAAGTGCTCTTTAAATAGTGATTGTGCTTCAGCTCACTGGATGCAGAAGTGGGCTAATAGAGCATCCTGCAAGGATGCTGACACCTAGATCTTCCTAGGAGATAATGCTTTTCAGCATAAGCTTCAGTGTCATATCTCTATATGCATGCCTGTTATCTTTTGTCCTAATTTAACTAATAGTGCAGCATGCTAGTGAGTGATGAAGAATGGTCTACAGTATACAAATGTTTCTGTATTTCCCCTTTCACACATTAATTAGGCTTTAGTATACCATTGGGCGCACCTCCAAGGCCTGCAGCTCTTGCTCTAGTAAAAAAATATTTTTCTTTCTAGTTTTGAGAGCAGAATTAGCTTGAGTTAAATTTGAGTTAAAAGTGAGTTAAATTTTTTATTTGCATGGCTGGGGAGGTTTCGAGATTCATTGAGGAGGAGTTAATTCCTAGGAGTTCCAGAGAAGTTAAAGAATGAAAAAACAGTATTAGTGTCAGAGTAGTGTCTTTGTTCATACAAGAGGTAGGTATTGGAGTGTTTTTAATTTGCTTTTGTCAGTAAAATTGTTTATATGGTGCTTTATAATTTGTGAATGTTCCTTTTAAGTACTGCCTAGTGAATATTTGGATATCAATCTTATAATATATGCCTTGCCAAATAAACAAGGCATGCATCTGAATCCTTTCTGCTGTGTTAATGTACAGTATTGTTACAGCATCTTTTTTTTTTAAACACTTATCTTCTGTGTCCCAAGTACTGCCTCCTGTTAGTTACAAAATTGACCTTCAAACACTCCTGTTAATTCTAAAATATCTGTATGAGTTCAGAAGTTAGATTTGCCCCTCTAGATTTGCATTAACAAAAATTGTCTGTGTTCCGGTTTTTTAAGATGTTAAATATGTACCTGCTCATGTCATGGTCAGTAATAGACTTCTGTTCTTACAGTGATTTCACTATATTGTTGCTTGTTGGAAAAGTAGAAGAGGAAAAGTAGGAAGGGTCTGTGAGTTTTTGAAATAAAATAATAAAAAGTTTTCAAATAGCAAATTATTTATTTTTATAATATAAGCAAACTTTAAATTCTGCAGGGATGTCATCTTCATAAAACCATGAACGCACTCATGTGAGCTATATTTTCCCAAGAATATTTTTATTTTTGAAGCTACAGATGTTAAGCATCTTCTTTCCTTTCTTTGACAGGAAATTCTGGTGATTAAAGATCATGGCAACCATAGAGGAACTGGCCAATCAAATTTTTGAACAGCAAATGGGAGAGGTACATAAATTTTGAGTCCTATTTAAAATAAATTGAATAATAAAATGCACAGACTGATATGTAAAAACCAAAATCACAAAAGAAAATTTTTGGTACAGACAAGGCTTCTGGACACTTCCCTCAAAAGGCAGAAGAGCCTACTATGTCCATTTTGAAGTTACGCTGCGAAGCCTTTTTTGCCAAAGCTCGCCCCACAGAAATTAAGAACAATCTAGCAGTGTTTCCAGTTAAGTCACTCGTTTTTCAGCTTGCTGTCTGAGCCTGTAATGGTTTTCAGAGAGCCTATCTGGTTGTGTAATTGCTTTACTCACTTTTAGTTAAAAGAGTCAGGACGCAGCTTTTACTTTACAACTATGCAGTTCATTTGTTGTTTTTGTTTTCACTAGCAAATTTTTGCCATGTTCTTCACTTTCAAATATATGTGCTTTCTATGTGTCAAAAGAAAGATTGAGCTCTTGTTTCTGCAGATTTCGAGTTTTGGTTTTGTATGACTTGTGTGCAGCATCTGTGTGCTGCAGCCAGAGAACTGCCAGAGATGCACAGGTAGTTTGAAAATGTGGATATGAGTATACATAGTTATCTAGAAAGTTTCAACATAGCATAGACTATTTAAAATTAGTACCTATATAAATTAGATGGAGGCAATAGTTTATTTATCTTAAATAAATGTTACTTTTTAGCTTAAAATATCCACTCTTGGATTCTTGTCTAGACAAAGACTTAACTCGTCAAGTAATTTTATTTCCTCTCAGCATTGATTTCAGATGGAAAGGTTGGAGTGAAGGATGGGATAGTTAATTCTACTCTGAATAAATTCTCACACCTTTTATTTTGGTAACATATGAGTATTGCTAAGGCTATCTCAAAAGAACGTAAGTGGTTTATGGGATGTATGATGTTTGCTTGTTATTACTTGTCCTCTTTATTAGGCAAGAACACATGTTTAATGCAGTTTTGTTTTGGAACTATAATTCTTTGTTAAAGTGTAAATAGGGCTGTATTTCCTGTTTAAATTTGTTTCTTTTTGACAGTACAAGGCTAGTCAAAGCTAGCTGAAATGTACATTCCACTGAGAGGATGATGTGATAAAGGTGCTTAGCCTCTGGGAGGCTGTTTCTCACTTTCATAATGTGATTCCAGGAGATGCTGAGCTGACTTAGTATCTCAGTACCATGGTAGAGAGAGGGTCCTTTTTCTGTTTCTTTCCTTATTAATTTCCTCACCAACAGCGAGCTAATAACCCAGCCAAAACAAGTGGAAGGTTTTCTGCTGGGTTAGCATAGAAAAGTGTCTGAGAAGGCTCCAATGACTACCAAAGCCAGCACTAATGCAGTGGCCTGGGGTTCGGGGGTCCATCCGACCCCTGGCTGCCGCTGCTGTAGGTGTCCCGGACAGCACTGGGCTGTCGGGCTCAGCCTGTCTGGGTCCCTCAGGCTAGCTCTCAGACACAGACAGCTTAGCGAGCACCTCTGGAGTGATTTCAGCTCTGCTAAATTCAGCTCTTAGTGATTTCAGCTCGGTTCTCGCCAGTTCCTTAGGCAGACGCAGGGAGATGGAGAGAGGAGAAGTCTGTATGCGGTTCCACAGTGGTGTCTTTAATTTCAGCTCCTGTGAAGGGGTGCAGTGACAGACAGCTCTTCTGCTGAACTGGGCAGAGATGGGGGTTGATATAGGTACAGGGGTGTTGGAACTTGTCCAATGGCCAGGGTTGAGGAGAATATGACCTATAGCCTTACAGAGAGATAACAAGGGTCTGAATGCGGAAGAGGGGCTTCTTTGGTCCAGTCTCTGTGACTAAACATTTCTTATCTTAGGCGAGGGGCCACCAGGGAGGCCTTGCAGGGCCTCTGACTGCTACACAGCACAAAGAAGATGGCTGGTAGCCAAAGGAAGACAGGCAAGAAAACAGAGAGAGTGAAAGTGCAGTGCTACAGAGAGCTGTAGCTGTTCTTGTTCATGGTGAAATCGCAGCTCTGTAGTTTTCATGGCTGTTGTTTTCTCAGCAGGGTATATTAGGATTTGTCCTTTAGCAAGGTTTTACTCTGTCTGAGATGGTCACACCACATTTGTCAGCAGTGCAGCTTAACCATTCCTCAGTCCTCACTTAGCCACTTATTCTCATGCTATGTTAGTCTTGCTCATGTAAGCTCTGTGTCATCATGCTGTGGACAAAACTAGGAAAAAAAATTACTGACAGCATAGGGGAGGAAGGTCATCTCCCTGTTGCTTGTGATCAGTGTCCTTATTTCATACAAGGTGTAGCCCAGCCAGGCACAGGGTTGGAAGGACTGAAAAGCATCCCTGAGGACAGAGCAAGCTGGGACTCGTTAAGCCAAAATTGTTGTCAAAAGTGCATGCCATGTACGAATGTGCTGCCTGAAAGGTGGAATCAAGCAAGTCTCACAGGGGCATCCCTGCAATAACTTACATTCCTGCCTACCTACAGGCTGTAATTGCTTGGTGGCATTCATAATCACTGAAAAATGATAGTTTAAGATCTAGAGAGCTTCAGCAGTATTTTTGCTAGCATTTATAATACCCTTGAATGTTGAAATAGTTTTAATTGAATTTACAAGAAAAAATTACAAGAGTAGAACCTGAAAGGAAAAAGTGCTCCAATATTGAGGAGAATAGAAATGCTTTTGTGTCTTATTGAAATAATGGTCAGAAGTGTTTTGTACAGATATTTTTATTGTTTTATAATATTAATTGTTGTTCATGAAGCAGTTTAAATCACAAAATTACCACAGCAATTTTACAATGGTGTTCACAAACATTCTTTTTTTAATTTAAGGCATTTTGCATGAAAGCAAAACATAGAAGCAAAATATGTCTGCATGGGTCATTGTGCAGTGATTATCATTGCTCAGGTTCTGCCATCTGCTAGTCATCTTTTTCTCAGTGCAAGATAATTCCTGTTTCTATATCAAGACCACATTTCTTGAATCATGTAGTGAAGCTCCCTGCCAAGAGCATTCTTTCTTTAATCTCTGGCTGGGTACACTAAGTATATGGTTAATTTCCACAGTCCTGCCAGTTTACTGTAACAGAGGAAAGCTACATCCTTGTTGCAACAGTCTGTCACACACATAAAAAGTACAATTTTTAACAAATTTTGCAGTTACTCTTATCATTATTAACTGCAATAAAACCCCTTGTATTCTGCATAGAAGTAAAATTGTCAAACTGACATTTTGTGGGATTAAAAAGTAGTTGTACCTTACACAACATGTGGATCATGACATTTTAAGGGAGTAAATGTGAAACAGTTCTATAATATGTAGCTTATTTTGTAAAGCAAAGGTAAATGCACATAAAACTTGAATTGCTTCTGAAACACCACGTGTACCTGTCGATTTGAGTGGCTGATGTGCTTGAAAGTAGCTCTCTTGAACTGAAAATGCTGCTGATTAATGAACAGTTTTTGCCCTTTACTTAAGCAAAGAAGCAGATGAATTGTTTAAAAGTACTTGTTCTCAGAAAAATCAGATATTTTTAGAAAGCAGTGTCTAGAAATGGCTTGGACAGTAGTTTGACAAGCATTTCTTTTGCTGGTGCTGGCAGTTTAAGTAATCTCCCTAGCAGATTAGCCTCGCCGGTTTGCTCTGATGTGTCTGCTTCTGAGCATTGTGAAGACTGGATTGAAGGTTTGATCTGTGCTAAGAATAGCCTTTCTTTGCTGGGCTGCTTTTCAGCCTGCATGGGTATCTTGTTCCAGATCACAGAATGACTAACCAGCCAGTTTAACCTACAAAGATGAGGAGAGAGGAGCAAGTAGATTATGAGACTGCTGCCAAAATTAGCGCCTTTTTGGGCAAAATTTCAAAATCAACTGCTTTCTGATTATGGCTGATTTCTGCCATAAGGGGAAGTGTTACCCTCCACCCTGTCCCTCTCTCACATACTGACCTCGAGCTGCATGTTCTGGCCTGCTTTTGTCTGCTGGTACTAGCATTTAGATGGTGATATGGTTGCAAAATCAGGAAGCTGATCCAGGAGGAACAAAAAGTCTCACAAAAATGTTATGAAACAATACCTTTACTGCAATATGCATATATATTCTCTATATTAATTGGGAGGGGCAGAGGAGTATTTGTATAATGGTGTAAATACTGGGAATTATTGGTAGTACAGATTTGCAGTATACTGCAGGCAGTTTTGTGAATAGCAAAAAGGTTTCAGAGTTACCTGGGAATTTAAGACAAAAAATTCAATTTGAAGGTGTCTGTGATCTCTGTGAAGACAAATTCTCTTTGTACTGCAAAAAATCTGGCCTTTCTGATCAAGCCTCTATGAATAGCAGCTGTTCTTAATTTTTATTGACAGATAATGTAATGAATAATACAATACCTTCTACCATATGCCACAGGCTGTAGGCTGTGAAGAATTTTTAAAATACTGATAATTGTTAAAACACTTCCATGAATTGTGTTTGAGAGCATTCACACAGAGATTTTAATACAAGATACAGTCTTTGCAAACTTCACACAATTACTTTTCCCTACCTTTGTTAATAGTTCCCCATTAAAGAATTATTTAACAGAAAAACAAAATTGAAACTGCCAATTGCTGGTTCCATACAAAAAGCCCTTGTGTCACTTCAAGTGAGCCATTAAAGTGCATTTATTGCAAACATAGCACAGCTATGATGATAGATATTTTGTCTCGTGAACATCAATAGTAGTAAATATTCAGTTTGGTTGATATACATGGACTTGTCAAAAATTAATTGCTTTACTTAAAGTGTTTGTAAGTTTCATGTTGGAAGGTATTTCAAAATGGGTTTAGATCAGAATTTTCTAATTAGAGAAATTAAGGTGTTGAATTCAAGCATTCGCATTTTTTATAGAATAAGAATGTCAGACTTTCCATGGCCTTATTCAGAGAAATTGGAAGTTGATGAAACCTAAAGGTTTAATCCAGTAAGGTAGTGGATCCATTAAAATCGTGTATCTGTTGTCAGTCTATTGCATTTGTTTCTTCTTTCTAGGTTTCACATTCCCAGGAACGTGGTACACAAACACTAATGGATGGGACTCCACAACGAATACAGATTGTCCCTACAGACTCAGGCCTCTCTTTATCACAGCGTATACAGGTATGCTTCATCTGATGCATTTTAAAAGCAGAGATTAACTATTTGCTTCTGCCAGTTTTCCACATGCAGTTGTTTTTGGTTTTTTTTTTGTTTTCATCATGTTGCTTGCTTTAATGTAAATATTCAGCCCCAGATGGCAGAGACCCTTTCTGTATAAATAGGAATAAAACATCATTCCAGTCTTTCCTCTCTTTATCCTTTTTTCTTTTTCCTTTCTAAGAATTTTAACATTACAAAAATCCTAACTCCCTGAACAGAAAAATACTTTTTGCAAGTGAAGCTATTCCTTGAAAGTTGAATACTTTGTCTTTTTGGTAGTTCAACTAAGGTGGAGTATTTCTACATTTTGGAGCAGAAGCAGGGAGGTAAATACTGCATTATGTCTTCAAAGCAATGAAAAAGTGCAGAGAAGCTTAATGTCTGAGAAGAATACTAGTTTTTAGTTGTCCCAACCCATGGTGCATGTCTTGGTACTATAATCCATGACTTGGCCAAGTAATAAGCTTCAGTTGAAGTGAGAGTAGTGAAGTTTTTGGCAAAGTAGATACTTAAATCTGCACAGAAATGTGTATAGGGATACTAGGAACATTTGGGGAATTAAATTTTAAGTTTTACGCCTTAGAAGTCAGTGCAAGTCAGTTTTATTTTTAATTTTCATTGTAGAGAAAAATATCAACTTCAGAATAAATGTAAAAAATATTCTCAGGTATATATTGTTGATACAAAAGCACACATTTAAGTGAGCCAGCTGCAAGTATAATCTTTGCTGCTTTTTGTTTTACCAGCTTCACTCTAAACATTGTCCTCTGTTTTTCTCCTGTTTTGGTGCATTATGTTCAAGCTTTCAACCATCCAAGGCTCTTCACAACCACTCCCTATACATTAAGGGTTTTTTTTTTAGATTTATTACCACCCAACCTGTGCTCCATTTGTGGTATATTACCAATCTTGGTAAGGTACCAAGATTGGTAAGATACTTCGAGTCTTACCTACAGGATTGGTAAGACCAAGATGTGGTTTTACCAATCCTATAGGTCTTCAATCTTTCAGCTACCTCTGCTCCGTTTCTACACTTCGTGTACAGGTGTACTTTTTATTAATTAATTTGTAGTCATCAATTAAACACCATTCTGTCTTCAAAAAGGAGAGTAAGCACTTTGGTTGTTGTCTCTTGATGGGTGTGGAACAACACTCAGTCAAAACACTCATCCTTTCTGCAAGAGATCTACAAACATATCACTAGTATCAAACTTAGTAATAACTTTGCTCAGAGAAGAATTTATGTGAAGAACAAAGTAGTTTGTAGAAATTAATGTATCTTAGTGAAATGTCCACCATAAATGTTACATTGAATAATTTTGAGTATATCTTTTCAATCACTGTTTTTTCCTTTATTATTATTAAATGCACCTAATTACCTGAAATAATAAAATAGAAAATCCTCAGTAGAAAGTTGTTTAAAACATGTTTTATTAGTCACTCTTCTTAGGGTATGCTAGCATTTCTTCTGGGAGAAAAGATGAATGTTAAACAGGCGTTCGGCACAAAATTGCACCTGTTATAAACCAGTGTATTAGTTGTCTGTGTTAAACATTTTCTTTTTTGTGAAATAGAACACACAGTTACTGAGGTGTTTAATTTATTGAAATGATGTTAAAATAGAAATCAAAACTTGTTAACAAACAAAGCATAAAAGCAATAAAGTACTATCTTCCATTATCATCAGGGTGCTTAAATTAAATACATAAAAGTAGTGTGTTTTGATGCAGTCAATCCTGAATTTATATATTCCTGCTTTATAATATTATTGTTATAGCAATATTGAGTTTCAGATTATTAAGATAATGTGTTGTCGCTGATTCATGGTAGATTTGTGGTCAGAAGAGAAGAGTTTTTCCTCTTCCCTCTGATTATTTTTTTCTCTTACCTTAACATTTAGTATTGCAAGTTGTTGTACTACGGTGAACTGCTCCACTTTTCAGTGTCCCCATTGAGATGTAGGTGGAGATTTTGCAGGTGTATGGCCATAAGTGGTCAGCTGCAGACAAGAACATGCTTAATTGTTTACACTGCTTTCTCTTTTGCCTCTGTCAGTTGTCAAATATCAGGTGCAGACATCACTTGTGCAGGTTGAATAACTTTGTAAGAATATTAATGTAACACTATACCTACCATGTTATGTAGTGAAAACTATCTTGGAATCCTCCTAGAATTGCAGGAATCCATTTGAAGATTGGGACTCTATTTGTTAAATAGAAGGTGAAGCGAATTGGGTGAAGTATGAGTGGTTCTTCTGCCTACTGTCCTGCCATATTTATCTACAAGTACATACATTTTTTTAAATTACACTGCTGGGCTACAGTAGTAAAAAAGATAACTTAGTATATATGTCCTGGAAATCATTTCAGCTGTAGTTCAAGTTTGGACATACTGGTTTTTGAGTATACTTTTTATAAACCTAACTATATGGAATATATACCATTTTTGGAGAACACACAGTTGTGCTTTTAAGATTTGATAGAGAGACAGATTTTATTTAAGAGTGTCTTTCAAAGACCAGGTCTGGAAATTCAAAAAAAAGCACAGTATTCTCTTTGGCTTGTGTACATCTATGCACCCTGTTGAGCATAATATACATTGGATTTCTCGTAATTGAAAGGGAAAGAAAGGGAATGGGATATCAGCTACTTTGGAAATAGCCAAAAATTACACAGGAGATACAAAGATTGTAAATGAAGGAAATGGAACAAAGAAAAGGAAATTAAGGAACAAAGGAAGTGAAAAGGGCAAGGAATTCTAAAGAAGATAGAACCAATATAAAGGAACTTAAAGGAGAAATAATGGTCTGCTGTAGCCATATGTGCTCCCAGACATGTGGATATATGAAAAAACTAAACAGAAAATTTATCATTATCATGTTGATAATTATTGTCATGCTTTAGCATTGTCTTCTCACCCTCTACCCCAAATCCCATGATAATTTTTGTTCTTTAGCATTTAGAATTTTATAATTTTGCCTGCACTTTTCTCTTAGATACGCTTTTAATCATATTTTGCAGAGAAAAATATTGATTTTTGATCCATTAAAATATTAAGAGCACAAGGCCACCTGAAGGAAACATTTGTTTTGTGTAATGAAACTCATGATTTCTGAATATTTGAAAGTGGCAGTATTGCATTATAACTGCTGAAATTGGATACTCATCACTGCTTGTTTCATTAAAATATAAACTATACAGAGGTATTGAGCATTTAGAGAAAGTAATAAGCCTCTTGTGAAGGTGCAGTAGCAAAGTTGATAAAAAAATTATGTGAAATTATGGCTCATTGAGTTTCTTTGTGCTATGTCTCTCCACCTAGGAAATATAATTAATATTGGCACCCCAATTACTATGGAACAAGTTATGATAAACACTAGACAGCTAAATAAATGTAATCTGTAATAAAATAAAATTCATATTTGGAATGTGAATGTTGGGGATGTGTAGATTAACATAAATGTTTGTCTATAGTTTAAAAAACAAATTAATAGGAGCTATTTTATTTATCTGTAATTCAAAATAGTTTACAGGAAGTAATCTTTGTAGGATAATTCTCCTTAGTCTCCAGAGTAAACCAGACAGTTTTTCATATAGGCATTCTGATGGAGATATGCAGTGACTAAAAGTAAGATTTATAATGGAATATATATAGAATCTTGATTATTTTCTCTGAGGATTATAATCTTTTGACAAAGTTGGCAGAAAATAGAGGATTATTTAATAAAATTCTGCTGTATTTGTGCTTGAAAATAGGGATAAAATGAAAAAAAAAAACCACCCAGCAGATCTGTTCTTTTTCCTTAAAAAAAGAAAAGACAAAAAAGGCAGGGAAGGAGATTTTGCTTCATTAAGTTATTTAGAAATGTAGATGGAAAAAAGGTCCCCACAAAATGAAGTCTAAAATGTATATAGAGGTGCAACAATATAATTGCTTTTCCTGCTGTTTGCTGCTTCCTGTTTTCACTTGGACGTCTACATTGGTGGGTTTAACAAGTTTTTTGTTAAATAACCAAACCTTGGAGGTGGTGCAAACACTTCATGTAGAGAGCAGTGAATTCAAAATTTGAGATTTCTTGTAACCTGATGGGTCTTAGGGCTGAGCTACAGACATGCCTTGAGTTCTGGATGTTAGAATTGTCAAGAGTTTCAGTAGTGTTCAGTAGTGTTATAAAAACATGTGTCAGTCGTAGAAATTGAGTACGCACTCAGGATTTGACTTCAAACACCCTTGACTGAAATGTGTTTCAATACAGTGAAAATCCAAGTTTTCACCTGACTTTAATTCGCTCTTGTGTGATGGAGGGGAAGATGATCCTGCTTCTCAAATGTGAAAGGCAAAATCCCATTTTCTTCAAGTGCCCGGATTGGGTCCAAAAAGTTAAATCACCATAACAATTTGAGATAAATGTATTATTAGATTGTCACAGATCAGCAGACGGGCCAGAAGATTCAGATTGTTACATCACTTGATCAGAGCTCAGCAGGCAAGCAGTTCATCTTAACAAATCATGATGGCTCTACCCCAAGCAAGGTGATCCTTGCCAGACAAGATTCCACTCCAGGAAAAGTTATCCTAGCAACTCCAGATGCTGCAGGTGTCAACCAACTGTTTTTTGCATCCCCTGATATATCTTCACAACACTTCCAGGTAGTTAATCCACTTTATTTCATATTTTTCATTCAAATGGGATAAGAAAAGATGTTTTATTTCCAAATAAGTCTGTCTGGGTTCTCCTTTTTGTTTTTTTAAAGTATAATTTTCCTTGCACTATGACTCACTGTGGATACTTGAAAATTATGAAAAAACTTTTTTTAGTAAATTTCTTGCTTTTAAAATGTATATGTTGGCTCATGACATTAGGAAGAATTAGGAAGTTATTTTTATTGTTATTTCCAGATTCTGGCATGCCAACAGTTTTATTTCTGCTCATTAACTCTCCATCTGTTTTCATGTATTGTTGAAAAGCATTCACTTTTCTCCATTGTCCTTCTTGCTTAACATTTCCCTTTGCTCGTTTTCCTTATTGCACACTGTTGCAACTGCTGTTCAGCTGTGTGAATTGTAGTCTATAGCAGTGCTCAGACTATTTGGTGGGGCAATACATTACTCCATGGGGGTGAGAAAACAATACTAATGATTCTGTGTTTACTAATGTGATATTGTAACTAGGCAGGGTTGCAACTCCCTTAGGTGGTCCCCAGTGTACCTTACTCCCAAGCACATTATATGTGCCAGCTCCTTAGCTGCTACCCTCCAACTTCCAAGCCTTCTGTCCTACATTATTCTCAGCCTGGGGGATGAGATGTCACTGATGTGAAAAATGTCAAAAACATGCAAGAAGAGTTGGGAGATGTGACCTCCTTCAGCATGAAGTAGGAGGTTACTGCACTCCAGCTAAGGTACACTTAACTGCATGTGTTCCACCCGCACACATTTATGCTGCTCTTACAATACATCAGCCAGACAACATTCAGATAGCTGCAATCCATTTAGTCTCATATCAAACACTTAAGGAAAAATATTAAAAGATGCTTAAGGAAAAATATTAAAAGATGGCCAAGTAAATAATGATCTTTTTAAGCATATTCCTTTACTTCCATTAGCTGATGATACAGAACAATCTCCTGATTTGGAGACTGCAGTTAGACCGTCATATTTGATTGCTGTTCTTAAATTTAAACAACCTTTTTTTGTTATTTATATAGATCACGTAAGCTTTATTCTGTATACTATCCAATGGTGTACCAAGAATATGCTAGATTATTTGACCATCTGAGAGAATTGTTTAATTAGGTGTCTCTTGAACTAGAAGATGCTATTAAGGATTTGTGTGTAGGTTTATAGATCACTACAAAATCCTCTTTTAAGCAAGCTTTTTTAAAGCTGCAGACCCTTAAACTGTTCAGTTTGTGCTCTTCTGTGAACTAGTCAACTGATTCACTACCCACACATTGTGTAAACTTGAAAGAACCTGTGCATTATGTAATACTACTGGTCTTGAAATTCATAGTTCTTTGCAAATAGACACCCTAGGTTCTTGCTCCAAAGAATTTGATTATTGTGAATAGGGGACCAATAGCAAAAGCTATTGAGAGGCATTAAAGCATAGTGTTATGATACACTTTGTATTTTAGGTAAGTCTCAACAAAAATATAAACCAGTGGGATATGAGTAGTCCACATAAAAATTCTTTTCAAAGACAGCTTAAGAGATGAAAAGTGTGCCACACTGGTTTATAAGGCAAAATTCAGGAAAAGAGGAAATCTGTAAGAAAAATTGAAAGCTCTAGTTCTGATTGTATCATTTGGGCAAAATAGGTCAGTTTGAGAAGCAACAGGGGGTATTCTGTCACTCCAGTTAAATTGTTCTGTTGTCCACAGATATGTATGGGTAGAGATTTCCTTTGTCCATTTAAAAGTTCATTAAATACAGAGTACCATTCATTTGCTGTTCACCTGCATACCTTTGGGATCTTTTGTATTTTCTCCCTCAAGTGATTTTTCCATCTCCAATTTCACCTGTTTTCTTCTTCTTCTGTAGTCTTCACTTGAAATGCCCATTTTGTTTGTTCTGCCAGAAACCTCTCTGTTACTGCATCTTATCTTTACATTGACTCATTTGGCAAGATCCTTTCTCCTGTCATCTATTTTAACTATAGTGGCTCTTTTTCATATTAATAATAATTTTTTATTCTTCATGTTCAAGGTCAGTTAATAAGTTCTCTGGGTCTGGGGTTTTTATCTCCTCATGGGCTGATTCTGTAGTCCTTCCTTATGTGGAACCTCCCATTTCAGAGAAGCTTCAATATATGGAAGGACTTAGAATTTATATTTTCTACAATATCATGAAAATACATAATGTTAATACTGGAAATTTGGAAGGATCGATAGGTTAATATTCTCTTAACTCATCATCTTATTTTTCTTTAAAAATTGGTGTTTTTTAAAAGAAAACATAAGAGATGGATCTCTAGAGACTGTATTGGTAACAAGGTTAACTAGAAAGAAGTATGCTTGTTAAACTTTCCTAAATATATCATCTGTACTATGTTCCAAACTTTAAAAAGCACAATTTCTAAATTTTCTCTGTGGAAGAGAGAGACTTTTCATTATTTCCCTTTTTATCAGAGGTCTTGTTCTGAACATGCAAAGCAAGAATGAGGAGTCTGGCTTCCATTTAAGGCACAGCAGAAGTTAAAAACTCTTCAAGCTTCTGAACTATATTCTCTTTTGAATGAGAAGAACATTTTTTTCTTTTCCATGTCAAGATGATGTTTGGTTGTTATTTGTAACTTGTGTGTTCCTTTTTTGAATGAAATTTTTGCTGTTCTTTATTTATGTTGTGGTGGGATAGTTTTCAAAGATTAAGTGAAATGTTCTGGTGCCTGCCCTGTAGTACTGGGATTCTAAAATTATGTTCTTAACAAAGCTTTACCAAAGACAAATGAATGAGACAAGGCAAGAATATTTTAATAATGTCAAACTGTTACTGAAAGCCAAGCTGTATACCAGTTAGAAGTTAAAGGTTGTGTTCAGAGTTACATTTACTTCTGATCCATATTTCTGTGTATTATTAAAAAAGAAGTTAATAAACCTCTATGTAGGTCTAGTAGCTTTTGCAAGGATTTTTTTTGTTCCATCTGTTTAGTGATTCCATCTCTTTTGCACTATTGATGAGCCATTAGTATATAAATGTAAAATTGAACAAATGATAAGAGTATGCAGATGCTCAAAGTTTTTCAAAATGTCAGTCCATTTTGCAGAAGTAGTATTTAGAGAAATGAAATCTTGAATTCTTCTCAAAAGCATTACAAATAAAACTTTTGTTCCCTCCTGAAAGGAAAAATAGTGGCATGGCAGGTAGTGACTTTGTGTCTCTGAAGACCATTAGATATAATCAAGAAAACATGATACTTTGTAGATTTAGTTGCCTATCTTAGACAAAAAGCACAAGCATAAGATATATTTTACTATTTCTAGATGGTAAGAAAAGAAAAAATTAAGTTCTTTCCCATTTTTTTTTTCAGATTTTAACGGACAACTCCCCCAGTGAGCAGGGCCTAAATAAAGTGTTTGATCTGTGTGTTGTGTGTGGAGACAAAGCATCAGGTATTTGTTTTTTTTCTTTCTTTTTTTTAAAGTGGTGCAATTTTATAAAAGCAATTTAAAAGTCTTCCAAAGCTGTGTAACAATTTGCATTCATATAAATGTATAAATTTCTACACATGCAGTGGAGAATTTCACTAAATGGTACTTTAGTATCCATGGATAGAATTTATTGTGGTTTTACACAGAATCGTAGAATATCCTGAATTGGAAGGGACCCTCAAGGGTCACTGAAGTCCAACTCTTGGCCCTGCACAGGACACCCCAAGAGTCACACCCTGTGCTTGAGAGCCTTGTCCAAACACTTCTTGAGCTCTGTCAGGCTGGTGCTGTGACCACTGACCTGGGGAGTCTGTGCAGTGCCCAATCACCCTCTGGGTGAATATAACATACAAATATATAACCTAAAATCTCTCTGACCAGCTTCATGCCATTCCCTTGGGTCCTGGCACTGGAGGGAGTAAGTTAGTGCCTGCTCATCCATTTCCCCTTGTGAGGAACCTGCAGACCACTATGAGGTCTCCCTTCAGCAGGGAGCAGACTTGCTAGAAAGTAGAAGCTACATCAAAGAGTAGGTGAAGAAGCAGCCCTGGTACTTTGCAGAATGAATATTCATAATCCAGCTGCCACTAAAATGTTTTGGACAATATTCTTTTAATACATATGATGCTTTTTTTTTTTTTTAAATTTCTCATTTTAGTAGTGGTAAAAAGGTTGTGACAAAGGAATCTAGAAAACATGTCAGAATTTCTAGAAACGTCAGCAAAGAACTTTAAAGTGTTTTCTCCTAAATTAGGTCATATTTGTGACTTATTTTGTAATGTGCCATAGGTATTTCAAGGATTCATAAGCTAAAATTATGGAACTGCCAAGCATGCCTTCCTCAATCCTTTTTATTTATGTTTATCATTTTATGCAAAATCAAAATATTTTACTTCTAAAAATAATTGTCAACTTACTTTTTGTAGTCTATCTTAGAAATTTTTATATTATACAGAAAACTTCCTGAACTGGGCTTCAAAAAAAAAGTTGTACTTACTCTAGATTATTCTTCCATTGATGTTTTACTGCAAGAACTATAGACATACCCTGTTAAGAAAACAAAACGTGAAAATAAAGCTTTGAAGTTACTGCCTCATGCTGTCAAATGCCATGTTTGCATTTTCCATGGTTGCATTAGATTTAATGCATACCATTTCAACAGCTGAAATTGCAATGAGAAATCATGGGAAAATTACTAGAGAAATCTTTAAATTAAAATTTTTCTTGCTGTATTCTTACTGACCTGTTTTCTTAGCCTTTTCTTAACACTGCTGTCAACAGATAAGGAAATAATTTAATAAGCAACTTGCCTGTTTGTAAAATCCTGTTTAAGTGCTTTGAATTAGAAAAATGGTTCACTTGCTTTATTATGTTCTTTTATAACCCAAATATATTTTAAGATCTGCAACTGGAAAAACAAGTAAGTGTTCCTTTTCGGGTAAAATAGCTAATACTTTGTCTTTAATAAACGTAAAGTCTAAAAAGTTGATATGATACTGTAAAATTAATGCAGTGTTTTCTGTTACTTTGTAACTAGGGCGTCATTATGGAGCAGTAACCTGTGAGGGATGCAAAGGATTCTTTAAAAGGAGCATACGGAAGAATTTAGTTTATTCCTGTCGAGGAACAAAAGACTGCGTCATTAACAAACACCACCGGAATCGCTGCCAGTATTGTAGGCTGCAGAGATGCATCGCCTTTGGGATGAAGCAAGATTGTAAGTCTGAGTAAGAGCAAACTACTTCACCTGGCAGCTGCTTTGTGCTACAAAAGATATGCTTTGTATAGATACAAATCATTATCTTGGTTACATATTTTTAGATAGTTGTCTCTTTTTCCTTTAAAGATAGTTTGGTGTATCAGAAATATTAAATGTTTTCAGGTGTTTGCTTTAAAAGCTTAATAAGCTCCATCTCATGTCATGAAAGTGAATGAATTGTTACTCCTACATGGCAAATATCAAAGATGTCTGCATTTTTTGTGCATTTCAACTTTTTTATGTATAGATTAAGTTACTGAACTTTTTGTACTCCTACCTTCCTTTCAGTTTTTCCACAGCTGAGATTACTGGCAGTTGCTGTTCACTTTTGGCAAAGCTCTGCGGAGACAGTTTTTCACAAGGCTGAGATCCATAGTGATCTAAAGTTCAGTTCATACTGATTCCTGCAGATTCCAAGTTCCTTTTTAGCTTTCCAAAGTGAGACTCTGCTACTGAGTACAGCATTGACAAAGGAAGATTAAATACTTGCCTCCATCTCCCACCCTTTAAAGCACTATTTGTGGGTTGCAGGCTGACTTCAATAGCATTGTCAATACTTAAAATTACAACTTTTGGGGTTTAAGATACTTACCAGTATAAAAATCTGAATAGCATCACAGTCTACTGCTATCTTGAAAAGTTTTTAATTTTTTATCTAAGTTACACATTTTTCACATTTCCACATCTTCCCCATAGAGGGTAATACTGTAAGTTTCATTTTAATATTCAAACCAAGGTGATAAATCTGTAGGCTAAAGCCCCAGTTCATTCCACCCTGTTTCACTGAGTCATTCAAATTAAAAATCCACTTCATCTCTGAAGTCAGTGACTGTGGGTCAGGGTGTTGCCCTGATTGATCTTAAATGGTCTGAACTCAACTTTGTGAATGTAGCTTTCCCTCTGTATTGTCAGAAGTCCTAATTTGAGACACTTCTTTATGTGAATGAAGTTACAACAGGGGTTCAACAGATCCACAATCCATGGAAAAATGTACCATGAGTCCTTTACAAAGGAAGTGAGAATGTGAGATAGTGAAACTGTGAGAATGAGGAACTTTAAGCTTCCACTTTGATTCAAATTAAAAATGAGAGGATGTCTCCCTTAATTTTAACTTTAAAATGTTGTATGTGTTCCAACTCAGACTTTGACTACTACATCATTTCACTTAAAACTCATCAAGTCAGTGTGCTGGTTTTATCCAACTTGTTAGCTTGTTGGTTATTGGATGTATTTTATATATATAATAGTTTCAAAATTATTATTAAATCAAATATTAAAGAAAGAAAAAAGTATTATTTCTTATCCTATAATTTGGGGTTATTTAATAGTCGGGTATTATTTCTGTAGCTGTACAGTGTGAGAGGAAACCTATTGAAGTGTCAAGAGAAAAATCTTCAAACTGTGCAGCTTCTACAGAAAAGATCTACATTCGGAAAGATCTTCGTAGTCCATTGGCTGCAACCCCAACTTTTGTAACAGACAATGAAACAGCAAGGTATGTAAATTGTATTCAGAAGTGGCTATCTCTGTCTTCTGAAAAAGGAAAATTCAGTTTTAAAATTAATCAAAATTAAAACTTGTGCTGTTTTCTGTCAGATCAACAGGTTTGTTGGAATCAGGAATGTTTGTTAACATTCATCCATCTGCAATAAAAAGTGAGCCTACTGTGCTGATGACTCCAGATAAGGTATGTGATGATATGACTGATATGATAAGTAGAGCTAATTGCCATAATTTTATATGTAAAGAGAGAAGGGTGTTCTATTTGGTTAAATTAATTTTTAAAACACTCCTTTACAACATTCACGATTGTTTCAAATGCCTTCTCTTTACAAGAATCATCTTAGCCTCACACAGTAAAAATGCTAAAAACATGACAAAGTAAATCCCCTTCACATTTTTAGAGAGCCTTAAGGGCATTGTTATTTTAATTTTTGTTTTGGGATAATCCTTACACTTGGCTTGCTCTTTTGTACAAATCAAGTGAGGTTTTCACAAGACTTCGCATGGCACTATCACAGTGCCACTTGTAAATACTGGATTCAGGATTTTTTTTCCCTGAATCACTATATTTTTGGCAAAACTGGTAAGACCTATCTCATCAACAATTATATTGATGAGCTGGTTTTCCTTTGTTTCCATTTTGTTGCACTTACTGATCCACTAAAGCCATGTGGTAGCTTCTTCACATATGCACAATAGGAAGCATTTTTGTTTTTCTAGCCGATATCAAATTACCTCACGTGGGAGAATGGATTGTAAGAGAATAGAGATAGTGCTGCAGACAATCTTGCCCCTGCACAGTTGCAGCTGTGTAAGACAGGTGACCAGTGTTGAAGGAGAAGACTCTTGGAATGCTGATGTGTATTGACCAATCACAGAAGAGTAAAAGGGCAGGCAGGTGTTACACATGCGAGAGAAAAGGTATGAAGAGTTAGGAGGAGAGAGGTGGTGGTAACAGGTTCTGCTGTGAAAGGAAGGGGTCTGTATTGCTTGGGGCTGCTTGTGGGGTTGTAACAGAGAGAAGGTTTGAAGGTTTTAATAAACTGCTGATGCTTGCTGCCATCTTCGGTGCCAGTCTTTTGAGTCCTCCGTCAATTGGGGAGTTTTTAGATAACAAAGGACTGCTGCTGGTGTCAGTCGTAGCCGTGTGACCACCGTCAGATTGTTGCCCTGTTTCAGGGGTGAGTGACAACAAATGTAATTGTTGCCCTGTGTGAGGAGTGACCAACAACACCCTCATACTGTTTTCATGCATTTTACTTTGCTTGCTCTGACTGGTGCTACTAGCAGCTGCATACTTGCCTGTTTTTTTTCCTCCTGGGACAGAATGGGCCACATCTTACTGCCTCTCTAAGTTCCTAGCCAGTACTGAATCACATTTTTCCTTTGCAGTTAAACAAAGACATAAACACCAAAAAGGCTACAGCATAATTATTTTTCTGCTTGTTTATAAAGGTGACTTTTTATGCATTCCTTCTTCTCAGATGTTCTCCTACCCTCTTACTACTGACTCATTGACACAGTGAAGGAAGATGCTAAAAATATAATCTAGAGCAGTTTTATATTCCTGGTGATGGACTGGTGCATAGAGATGTGAAATCTTCTTTCTGCACTTGCTTACCATCAGTAGTATTCTTTCTACTGATAGAAATAGATAGCTATTCTACAAGTAAATGTCAAAATATTCCATATTTTAGATGCAGTGCAGTGTCTGATTGCTGTATTGTGGTTATCCATGTACTGAAAACTGTTTTCTTGCAGGTATATTTTTGTATATGCTCTATTCTTCATTTTTGTGAAAGCTAGGCTCTTCTCGTGCAGGTTAACTGCTGCCAATTAACTGAGAATTAAAAGCTGGGGTTTTTTTCCCTTAGGTAGAAGCATGTCAAGGAGATTTAAGTACACTGGCAAATGTGGTGACTTCATTAGCAAATCTCAGTAAATGCAAAGACACATCACAAAGCAGTACAGAACTATCCATGATCGAAAATTTGAGCAATGGAGATGCATCATTACCTGAACTCAAGCAAGAAGAACAAGCTAGTAGTGATGTTACAAGGTAAGGCATGTTACACTTAAAAATACTATCCTTTTCAAAAGTAGGTCACTGTCAATTCAGACCAGCAATTCATTAAATCATCACAATTTAGGAAATTTATCTGCTTTAAAAGTAATAGCAACATTAGCGTAAGCTCATGTAGAAGGCAAATCTTGTAAGATTCTTCCAAGTGAAATCAGAAGAAAGTTCCATTAGAGAAACAAATCATTTTAGTTGTTTGTACTTGAAATTAATTTCAGTATAAATGTTACAGCTGTTTTTCTTACCTCTTGATTGGCCACACTATTGTATGTTAGGTCTTGGTTTGCATCATCCTGGAAAATTTGCTCTTAAGAGATCTCATCTTTGTGTTATATAACTATTAATCACCTTAAAAGCTTGAAAAACATTTTCCTTCTATGTAAGAGAAATTACAGAATTCTCACTACCAATATTAATGAATTCACTGAGTATCTTACAAACCTGTATTTTGCAATGGTTTTAATGAGCCACTGTTGTGAGCATATGTGTAAGATGTATATACAGAACATTCACAGTTATTCCATCAATCACAATTGTGCTCTTCCTTGGTTGTCATCTCATACAAGCTTCTGCCTGCTGTCCCAGCAACATTCTTTTACACACCACCTACATTTTACATTCTGTTCTGAAAGTGTTTGTGGAGTAAATCCGTTGAGGGGGGGAAAAAGTGGGCGTATAGTAGCTGAAATATCTGATTTCCCCTGTGGACTCTACTGCTTTGTGTAATTGCAAGAAGATTACATTTTTTCTGCTCCTTTCTTTTTACTGCATAGAAAGTCAGTCTGACTTTTTATAGATGCTGATTTGGGCCTTTGCTATGTCCCCCTAGGTAAAGAATGTTAGAATATGCTATGTAAGTAGTATTGTTACATGTGCTGACAGACACAGATATCTAGTTCTCTCAGCCAGAGTGCTTGAAAGAGCTGACTTGACATACTCGTGAAGTAGGTTACCTAATAGCTGTACAGTGGTGAGGTTCAAGTTAAATATTGCTGTGAAAGGGAAGTTGTTACTCCAAGAGAAACTAAAAATTTTCTCTAAATTACTGAGTTCCCTGTCAGGCCTTATGCCAGCATGATCTAACAGACGCAGAGCTTTATTGAGGAAGAAGAGTTTAAGGGACTTCAGAGAGTACATTTCATCCAACCATGCTTTTCATGTATTTTATTATATACATTGCTAGCAGTACCTGCTGGCATAGAGTATAACTTTTGCTGCAAGCACCCCCATTGCTTTTATATTGTAATTTTACGTGCCTTGTTCTCTAATGCTTCATGATATTCTTTCTTTACAGTTTATTTGAAGTCTTACATATCTGTTGATGACTGAGCCTGGCAAAAAGAAAAATAAAATTATCTGTAGCAAAGGATATCAATGCCCTGTATTTTAATGTTGATTATGCCATGTTTTTTCACTTTGTGGGCTAGATTTTCATAGCTCCCAGGCAAGCTTTGTTCTAGATTCTCTTTTCCGTGGTGTTTTACTTTACAGACATTGCTCATGTTGGGGCTTTGTATAGGAAAGGACTTGTATTACTGAGCCATGAGGAAGCAAAGCTGCTACTGACTTCTGCTGGCTTACTAGTAGTAAGTAGTAGTTTATGAGATAGAAGGGAGAAGATTCCTTTCAAAGCAACATTGAAGAGTGACTTGGGGGGAATGTGTCATGGGCAGACATGGTTAAACAAGTGTATATGCCCACACTATTTTTTTAGCCCTCTTCAGCTTGTACTATAATAAATACAGGATAGTGACAGATGCATATGAGCTTTACCTTTTGGGGAAAGGGGAAGCCTTGTTATTTTCTTAAATTTCTGTCCCTGCCACATGAAAAACCATGCAGAGACCCTGTTGTTTCTTGAAAAGCAGCTGTCACTGAGCTGCTGTGTTTGCCTGTTCTACCTAAGAGTGAATTGTGGAAGACCTGAAACTGAGATCTTCTAGCAGGAGTATGTAGTATACTTTCTTGAGCTGAGACATGAATGCCTTTGCTTTGTGCCAGCTTTGCATATACCAGAGACAAAAGATGGTCCAGGTATGTCTGTATAGTTCACTCATGTATGCCCCAGTCACCATTGTGTGTATTCATGAAGATACACAGGCTAGTGAGGACCAAAAACTAGTTCATTTACCATCCCAAACCTTGAGGCAGTGTAAACAGCTCTTTCTCTGTGATTTTTCATTTGATTGTCTGTAGTTATGTCAAACAGCTCGTTGGTGTATTTGTTTCTGGGGTTTTTTTTTTTAATTTTTAGACATGCTAGTGAATTCATGTAGCTACAGAGTGTGGGGGTAGACAAGGTGGCCAAGTTCTGTCCCAGATTTTGGCATTAAATCAGTGATTTTTAGACTCTGTGGTAATAAACATGTCCATAAATTGAGAATGAGCTCTACATACAAGCTGATAATCAGCTTTAAGTTTTTCATACAACACTATAGAAATGTTGCTGTTCCTGAATATGTCATCTGTCTGTTGGCAGTGATCAAGTCTGTGTATATTTGATTGAAGGTGTGTCAGTTGTAGTTCTTAGGTGTATTTATGAACAGAAAAACAACATGTGTTATCAAGCAGCCAAATATTGAGTAATACATCTGTGCTTGTCCTGACATCTGCCTTCTAGCATTTGTGCTTGTGAAAGCCAAGAGTCACTGCCACACAGCAGAGGGTACTAAGGGTTGTATTGAAAGCATGGGAGTGCTTTCTCTTACATACAAGCAGCCTTTTCAAATTAAGTTGAAAAATCTTGTTGTAGTTACAACTCATTACTTAACAAAAAAATAATCTCACTCTGTTTGTGCTTCATAGCAGTAAAAGCCTGTAAAATTTATACATGCACTAAGTGACTGTAACAGCAGTTTGGTGATCATGTCCTCAAAGCACTCATGCCAGCACTCTCAGTGAACATCACTAAAGAGATCTTGAAAAGCAAACTGTGATTCAGCAGCACAACCAATATGTCAAAACTGTGAATATGTTGGCAACTAATATAAACAGGATCTGCTGCTAATTTTTGTTCCAGAGTTTGAGGGAGTGTCAGGAAAAGCGTGCTACTGACTTTTATTTTCCCAATCTCACTCTTTAAAACAGACTTCTACATACAGGTTTAAGACATGTGCAGGTTCCTCTTAAATTGAAACAGTCTCTAAAATGAAATTTTCTTTTTGTTTGTTTGTGATCTTACAGGGCATTTGATACTCTTGCAAAAGCATTAAATCCAGGAGAGAGCCCAGCATGCCAGAACTCTGAAAGTATTGACACCAGTGCACAGCTCCTTGGTGGAGAAACAAGCATGAACATTGTTGAAATAGAGGGGCCACTACTCAGTGATGCTCATGTAGCATTCAGGGTACTGAATACTTTCTTCCTGTTGACTGTTTATAACTATTTTGACATAGTGATCTACAATAATGATCTGACTAAGCTTTATTTGGATTTCTTAGAGGAGTATTTGTTCAAGTATTGGCATTAATTTCCAGTTAATGAGCTGCTTTTGTTCACTGGTTAATTCTCTGGGAGAAAGTCTTGCACTCTGCAGTGGTTTAGCTGCAGTGGTTATTTTATAGTTTCTTACCTTAAAAATACTGGGTAAGCCATACAAAAGGATTTACATAGACAAGGTGTTTGCACGAAGCAGAGTCAGAATTGCATCGCATGAAGCAGAGTCAGCATCCATATTCTCACTTGTTAATGGGTGGGTCTGATCCAATCTGCAACTGGACTTTGAGACCTTAAAGTGTATTTGTCAGTTTGTTGTTTGTGTAGATGCCCTATTTTAGCTTGCTAGTAATTGACTTAAATACAGTTGCTGTGTTAGTTAACCATATATTTTCCGGATTTGTTTCTCATTTTACAAACTTGTAGGAATTCCTTCTATCTTTCTTTTTTTTTATCACCTTATTTTTCATAGACAAATCAAACAGCTTGGTCATCCGAAAACTTAGTAACAAGCATTTGGTTAAACTTTACCCCTCTTACTAGCATCTGTTTTGAACATTCAAATGAACATCTCTAATGCAAATGCCAGCTTTTTTTATTGCATTAGCCAGAACATTAGATTAAAAAATATTACTTCCTGAAGACAGAATTACATATTTTGAGGTATTTTGGGTGGAATCTCTTTCTTCACATAGACAGATTCCTATTATTCCTAACATTCCTATCATTCCTAACATCACTAATTTTACTTACTGACATTGTGAACATCCTTTCTTTTTGGACTTGGTAGCAGCTGTGTATTAGGTATTCTACTCAAACATCAAAAGATTTCTCTTGTATTTCTTTGTAAAATATTAATTAAAAGTAAAAAATATGTTTTGTGAAATACAATTCTGTCACACACACTCTCTGTCTCTCTAGCTCCAGAACTCCTCTAAGCAAGTTCATTCCAATTACAATGATTCTCTCTCGTATTCTTTGAGAATGTCTCAGAAGACAGTTCTGGGAGTTTTTTGAGTTTTGAGATTTTACATCTCCAGTTGTCCCAGACGTGAATCTCTATGAAGGAATCAAACTTTTTGTCTTTTTTGTTGCTGTGTAGTTATTTGACATACAGCATATAGTGGTGTGGCTAATAATGCAAAAGTGAGTTATTCAGTTTTGTGTTGGCATTATACCTTTTTATTTAAAGAACAGTTTTATTTTTTCACTTTAAAGAAACTCCAAGGACTGGTTTCTTCCTAAATGTATTATGAAGAAAGTCAAGTAACTGTCTTAACTTTCTTCTTTTTTCATTTTTTCTTCCTACTTTTGTTTTGCAGCTCACCATGCCTTCTCCTATGCCTGATTATCTTAATGTTCACTATATCTGCGAGTCTGCCTCCAGGCTGCTTTTCTTGTCCATGCACTGGGCACGTTCCATTCCATCTTTCCAAGCTTTGGGGTAAGTGTTCAGTTTATTCGCTTACGTTGTGGCTATGTGCTTTTGAATTTTTGGTGTTTACTGTTTTCTTAAGGGACTTGTAAAAATATAAAACTGCTAATTACAACTGTTATAAATCTTAATTGTAAGGTAGATTTTCTGAATTAAAACTACTCCCAGTTTGAGTCCAGATTCAGGACTTTGCTTGGGTTTTGTAAGAAAAAGGAGTAATTTAAAACAATCTAATACCTGCGCACTGCTGCTGCTTAAAATATTCTGAGAAAATAGGAATTTCGATCAGTTTTTTAATAACTACTGCTCTATGCTATATCCTGGTGCTTATCAGGCAATCACCAAAAAGAAGCTTCTGTCTGAATCGCCAGAGTTTTTATCCTTATAAGGGGAATTACATGTAATAATTTTGTCTTTAATAACCTACATGAAGAAAATTGTTTGCTAGATTCAGCAGATATTCAGAATGAAGTTGTCTAATTTCAGAAGATTTGCCCAAAAATAACTGGCTCCTGTAACCAAAGGGTAGTTCTAACTGTTCTTTTTACAGTTTGTATAACATCCTGCTTCTCCATCAGAATTCAGTGTATCACTAAGTTCAATTTTGTAGTCCATTGCTGATCATCATGAAAAAAAAATGTCCAAACTGCATAGGAAAAACTGATTTATCCTATATTCAGAAGTAATTTTATGAAGATACAGCAAACAAATAAAGATACTGTATCAGCTCTGACACAAATGGTGAATAAATCATGATAGTTTGTTCTCATCTCAGTGTTTCTGCTTAATTCAATACCAAAATAGCCTGTGTCTGTGCCAACAAGGAGAATTCCTTTTTTAAAATGAGAGATTCTCCTCTTTTCCAGGAAAGCTGTCAAAAGCAGGATGATCTGTGAATACTGTTTGTGTTTACTCAGATGCTTCAGCCAATTATTCTACACTTTTTAAGGAAAGATATTGTATTGTGTGTAATTACACCTGTGTGTTGGAGAAGGACAAAGGAATATTGTATAAAGTTATAGAATAGTAGGGGTAAAAAAATAGGTAAATATGATGTTTTATTCTAGTAGAAATTGTTGACCTGCAGAATTACAAAATGCATAGCAAATAAACATATTATATTATGTCATTCTAAGTTTACAAAAGGATTTTGTTACAGAGAGACAACTGCAAATTAGTACAAATTGGTATTCTAACAAAAAATGGGAATTGCTTCTTAAAAACAAAATGTACAGAAGACCTCTGTCTCTCCGAAAAAATTGAGCAAGAAAAATCTGCACATGCTGGGTTTTTTTGTTACTTCAAAATATATTTTTCTACTTAAAAAATGTGGAGGAGTAAGCTGCCATAATAGCGTTAATATTCACCTGTAATAGCATTTATTGACCCAGTCAAGATCGTGGGCATTGGTATATAAATAACATAAATTGAATTTTTCTTTGAAGCACATAAAATGCAAACTATTTTCAAGTGAAGATTTATTTGAAATTAATGCAGCCTTTATAGTTGGAGTACATTATATCCTATAATTTTAACTTTCAGAAGGGTGACTCATTTCACTTTCAAACTGAAGAGAAATTCATGGAGCATGATGAGTAATGGTTTTGTAAGGAAGATGGATAATTGTACCTATGTTGTTTCCTCCTCAGGCCACATTCTCCTTTAGTCACAGCAGGATAGTTGCCTTTGACCTAATATTGTAGTTAACGATGCCAGATACTAATTAGTTCATCTTCCTGCATGGGCATCTTTGTTCACAAGAGAGTTTCCTACTGAAACCTTTGCCAAAGTGGTTACAGCCTCTTCGTTTTGTGAGTCTGCTTAAGCAAACTTAAGGGCTGGTTCTAGTGTAACTTTGATCAGCCATAAAGATGCTGTAAATTCATATATGTTTATCTGCACACACATATCAGAGGAGTAGCCAGTACACCCTGTTTTCAATGGTGCTCAGCACAGTCTCTTTGATTATGTTAAAGGAGGTGAACAAAGATATGACAAATACATGCAGAAGCTGCATGTACACTATCATGTCTACCATAACAAGAACTTGATCATAATGAAAAATACTGCTGTCAGTAAGCTCTTTGTAATCTGGTTAAGGACAAGTCTGTGTTCACCAGTCATTTGACATCTTAGCATTGCACTAAATCATCAGAACTGTACTTGAAGATTATATCTGAATTCTTCAAAAATCCACTCCACTGTATTTTTGTAGTTGAAATCCTAGCTTTAATATGCTTTTCTTCTTTGATAGATCTTGTACTACTTTTAAATTTCCATTATTTATATTCACTGGCTAAAGCTGTGAAATGTCGTATCTGAATTAGACTCCTCTTTGGTGGGATTTACTTCCTAAGGTACTGAGCTCTTGTTAAGCTCTGTGAGTTAGAGACTTGGCATAACTGAAAGTTAAGGTACTAATGCAAAAGTGGCTGAATATGAATTGATATATTTTGTTTTAAGCTACAGCAAATAAATCCTTATGACTGGTATTTATACTTTGAAGTCTGTATTTCAAACGTTATTCTAAACTTGAAAGGGATGCAGAAGGTAGCAGTTAGGAAGCTCAGAAGCTTGATCACACATGTTCCATTTCATCTGTATCTTTAATTAAAAAATTATACCAACCTGTCAGTTTTCAAGTGAAAAAAAAAAAAGACCCCAAGTCTGTTCTATGTCCACAATACAGGAATAGTGCAATCTTTTTTTGTCCATGTGTATAAATATTGTTCCAAATCCTTGTGTACATGATGGAATACACTGTGATAGTTGTCATTTACTGTAACTTCATCTTGCTTTTGTAATAGAAATCTATTTCCTTTTAGGTCATTTAAACAAAAATGTATTGCTTTACAAAAGTCACTTTAAAATAGGTATTTTAATTCTAGCATGCAAAGAAAAATGTTGCAGAACTTCATTTTGGTGTTGGTTATCATGATTGAATTAGATCAATGTTTTATGAAGTGTTTCTCAAATATTAAAAAAAATGTGTGAATGCAAATGGCTGGTTTTATTAAATTATTGTGCTTTTTAATAGACAGGATAACAGCATATCATTAGTAAAAGCCTGCTGGAATGAACTTTTTACACTTGGTCTAGCACAGTGCTCGCAAGTCATGAATGTGGCAACGATCTTAGCTGCTTTTGTTAATCACCTTCAAGGCAGTTTACAACAAGGTAAGGTGTATACTGTGCACATGCCAGACTTGGGGAATTACTTGATATTTTTGAAGTTTTGAAGTGCATAGAAACTCTTTATCCTTCAGTTGTTATTGTAAATTTACTGTTTAAAGAATTTCATGTTAATATTGAAACAAGATACTAGCAACTATGGTCCCCAAGATAGAATTTTTTAGCAATTTTGCTGAAGTCAGTTATGATAATATTTAACTCCAAATTAAAAAAAAAAAAAAAAAATTTTGTGTGTTGTATTGTCTAATAGAGTTCTGCTGTATGTTAATATAATCAGCCCAAATTAGGAATATTTTGGGCAGCATCAATGTTAAGAACAAAAGAGTACTGTGAATGTGATTCCTCTGTATGAAGGAATGTAAAGAATGACCCACCTGTTCTTGTTCTTCATAGCTGTGACACAAAGCAGCTGAATGCCAACTTGGTGGTACAGTTCCTTTACATAACTTGGCTTGTTGACTTCCATGTATTAGTTTTAGTCTACATGGAAGTCTTCAACAGATCTCCACTAAGTACCTCTCTCGTTGCTAATCCTGTGTTTCTGCATCTTTGGCATATTTTTCATTCAAGTGAAAGACATATCAGTTGGCATCTTTTAATTCTGTTCTGAGCTGGAGGGGAGTCTTTGCTAAGCTTTGTGTACTTGTGGATACTCACAAGGTTATCACCACTAAGAGCTATCCAGTCAATAATAGTATTCATCTGTTCATAGATGTAACATAAGGTTAGAAAAATCTAAGCATTTTCAGATGTAAGTAAATTTTTGAATTTGCTGTTAGGGGTATGAAAATTCACTGTTGTTGATGCTATGCAAATGCTGATTTGTAAACTGGAAAAAAACAGCCTACCAGACTATAGATTTTTCAACTTCTTTTATGATAAGGTAATTAAAGAATTACTTGCAAGGGGTTTTTGTGATTTAAAAACATCTACAACATCCTTGTATGTTTACCAGAAAGGATATTGTTGTAATTAGTCATGTTTTTATCATTATTACAAATATATATTTCTACCATTTAAATTGGGAATTCAGGTTGATTGCAAGAACCAGTTGTGCACTCTGCCAGCTGCAGTATCTCCAAGAGATACTAGGTTTGTGGAGCCTAGAGACTGGATTGTGGAGGGAACAGAGTTTTCAGGCTGCTATGCTATTGCTAGCTCAAGGGGAACAGCTCTGCACCAACCACATTCCCCTGAATGTAAGTCAGGGAAGGTGTATAGTACACCTTTCCCAGCAGTGGCATGGTCTCTTACTAAAATAATCCACAAAGCTGTACACTGTCCTACCGTGTGGCACCTGACCCTTAGATACAGAGCACAGGTCAGCAGTAGCACAGTGTGCTTTACTTATAAATAGTCCCTTCCTTGATCATTTCAAGCTCTAGTCCATGCCTGATAACTGGAAGCATTAGCAGGAAGAGCCTAATTGGAAAAGGTGGGAAAAAAGAGTGTTAATACTCTGTAATTGCTGGTTTCAAGATTATTCAGATCTATTAGGAATTTATGGATGGCATAGATTTCCCATTGCTTGAATATAATAAAATAATTATTTTTAAAATTCCAGTGTGACCACATTTTTGCATGTATATTAACTTGGTAATTTTTTTATGTGTCTTGATTTAGATAAGCTGCCAACAGACAGAGGAAGACTAGTAATGGAGCATGTCTTCAAATTGCAAGAGTTTTGTAACAGCATGGTTAAACTGTGTCTAGATGGATATGAATATGCATATTTGAAAGCAATCGTCCTCTTCAGTCCTGGTGTGTAATTATTCCAAATGTAACATTTTAATTTGTGCTATTTGTTGCTGCATACCTGTTTCCTTATATACCTCATTTGTTGAAGAATCTTGGAAGGTTTGTAAGGGCTGGAGGAAGAGGAGGGTTAATCTTCTAATGTAAACAACTGAATGTTGCTTTGGGGACTTTTTTTGCAGGGGGAGACTTTGATTCTTTTTATTTGTAGATTCCTATTCTTGGTTGTGCCACTCATGATTTTTGTTAGTTTGGGTTTGGGATTTGGGTTTTTTTGTTTTTTCTTTTCATTTATTTTTTGCTTTTAATTTTGTGCCTTCTTTGTGGGGAGCATTTTCTGAAGACCTGCAGTTTAATTTTCTGAAGTGTTGCTCTTGCACATCCAGATGAGATGGATTGAAGTTGGGATTTTAATATATGAAGGACTATCTGGGCATCTGTTCTCACATTCAGAATTACAGAAACATCACCTCTCCCCCACACAGACAATGCATATATCATTTCTAATGAATGAACACCACAAACGTTCACTTATGTTATTATTTCTGTCTTCTAAACATTATTTGCTTAAAGTACTCTCAGTAGCATTATTAGACATACATTAGACAGTGAAGGTAATATAACTTTCTTTCCCTTCTGGGTGATTAGTTTACAATAAGGAGGAAAGAGTCCTCTGGTTATGGTAGAAGCTTACTTAGTAATTACATTGTGTAACCCATGTATCTTTCCATGCCTGGATGTGGAAAGTTACAAAATTAATTTTCTTTATTTGAAAGTTGTAGAATTAACTTTTCACAAAAAGCATTCAGGTATTGTATCAGTATCCTGCAGGCCTTAGATACATCATTCAGAATTGGGATTTAATACAAAGCCAAACCAAGTCTTTTGGTGAAAGAAAAATGTGTAAATCTCAAGTACTTCCTGTATCTCCAAGAATTTTTCATGGTATTCATCCAAGTGCACAAACAAAACCTTGCATAACTTCCATTGCTACCCATACATATAATTTTTTATATATATATATGTATCTCAGTAATGGAAGACTTCTGAGATGAAAGACATTAATGCAAATAAAAGGTGGTATAAGTAGAGTCAGTACCCTTCAGGAAAGATGATAAATTTCCAGAGAAATTCCTATTGTGATAATTTTTCTATTGTGGATCACTAAGAAAAATCAGATCCTGGGTGTTTTACTATAAAATATAATCTTGCTGTCAGTCCTTATGACCAGGAGAGTCTTGCATGGCTTTATGTGTTTGCTTGTGCAATTTACTGTATCACTGAAACAGTTGCAGTTTCCTGATAAACAGGACTCACCATTAAACCCACTAAATTTAAACACAATATTAAGCATGTTTGAAAATCTTTCCAGTTTTCCTTCTCTGTGAGGATTGAACAGTTGCAAATACACCATTATTACAGAAGAGACTTTCTCTAAGTGTTCTTATCCCAAAATAATCCTTTTCATGGCTTTCCTATAAAAAGAACTGGCACAGGTTACTTCAAGAAGGAAACAAAATTATGGGAGAATACCTCAAGTACATTTTTTTAGAATGATGTCCACTTGAATTTATGATAGAATCCTTTGGCCTGTGTGGAAGAATCAATCCTGTTAGATGCCAACAAATACTTCTTGAGGAAACTTGCACTTGCAAAGTAGTATTTACCTATTCATTTAGTCTGAAGTTTGTCTCTTTCCAGTTATATTTGACAACAAAAAAGGTAGAAGGAAAAATACCTTGGGAAAAGACTCTAGTCCAGTCCCATGATTGAGAGAAATTTTCATTAGCTGATGTTTTCAAATTCACATTAATAATGAGTAGTTGCTTTAATGGCAATGTGATGTCAGGACTCTCGATCCTTGAGCCATATAACAAAATCTTCATACACATGAAAGTCATGTTTGGTACCTTGAACAGAAGGGATGTCCTGGCAATGACTCACAGGCTAGAAATTACAATTTCAGGGATTTTACTGCTGTGCTGCTGGATGGGGCTGGGCTGTGCATGCAGCAGAGCCCTAAGGTAAGAGCCTCTGCTTTAGTAGACTCTGGTGATTCAGCTGTGCCAAGCCAGCTGTTTGATTGCCACAAGACAGCCTTGGGCAAAGAGATTAATGTAAAGGGTGTGCCAAAAAGACTTGACATCTTTCTAAACGGCTGCAAGTGTACAAGCAGTGGTCTTCAAACTGCTGTTTCCAGAAGTTGACTTCTTGCTGTGCTCCTGACATGGCTGTAAAAGCAGCAGCAAGAAGGGATGCATTTTGCACATCAAGTCTAACTCTTCATCTACATGATTTGTCATGCTAGTATGACAGTAAAATTTTTGCATTCAGATAGATGGATAATAAAATTACAGACCATGTAAAGAGTTCAGAATTACTGGATAATAATTTCCAAGAATGACTTGGCAGGTAGGTTGATGGCCTTTCATTTTAGCAACACTTATACTTCAAGTACGTTCAAATCACTGCTAAAAATTATGAAAAGCACATTTGAAATTCTTGTACCAAATAGGTGAGAAAGAACAATCTGCTACACACCAACCTATCTGAATTCAAAGAGCATTTGGACAATGCTGTCAGGCACACGGGTGATTCTTAGGGTGTCCTATGCAGGCCCAGGAGTTGGACTTGATGATAGTGATGGGTCCCTTCTAACTCAGCATATTCTATGATATGGTACTGTTTTCTACATGTCTTAAGCAGTTCACAGCATTTTATTCTGCTTCTTCCACTGATCTTAATTTTGTACTTCACTTTTCATCTAAATATTATTTGTGCATCCAGTGTTCCAGGAAGTGTCAGTGTGTTGAAACAAACCTGTTTTACTGCTACACAGAGAATAGACTTGTATCATCAAGATTAGTATAAACATTGCAAGCACTGAATTTATTTGAACTCTTTTAAATGTCTGATTTTATTTATGGAAAGTTGAGTAAAATATAAATGTAAAGAAAGAGAAATATAAGGAAGTAAAGTAGTGTCCACAACTGAAACTGAAGTTGCTGCATCAACTACATAATTATTTCAGTATATTGGCAACTGGATAGTCTGTATGGATGTTAGTTCATTTTCTGTAGAAGAGGTATAACAAAGAAGAGGGTTTTTTTTTCAGATCACCCAGGTCTAGAAAATGTGGTGCAGATAGAGAAATTTCAAGAAAAAGCTTACATGGAGTTCCAAGACTATGTAACAAAGGCGTATCCGGATGATACGTACAGGTCTGTAAACTTAGATGCTTGCTTGATTGATTCTCATATCAGAGTCACTGATTTGTACAGTTTTTAATGTAATAAATATATACATTTTCTTCTTACTTCCTTAAACTTAAGGAATTACCTTTAGAACATTTCAAATATTATGTATATGGTCATATACATAATATATATGTATATATATACACATATACTATGTGTAGTATTTGTCATCTCACTATTAATTTCTAAAATTAAATGTCAAATAAATATTAGTAACAGTCAATTTTAATTGCATCCATTTGGAATATTTCCTCATTTAGTCTTAAATCCAAACATACATGTAGTTGACAGGCATTTGTACATTTTCTGTACAGTTCAAGACATGACTAAACATAAATTTAATGCTATACTGATTTAAATATTTAAGCCTTTAATGAACTAGATACAGCAAACTTTGGCCAGTAGTGTCCCTTGTAATTTTTTTCTCTCCTTTTGCTAATAATATAATGAAGAACAACACGAAAATCTGTGATCTGCTAAGTAACGCTTTTCATCAAATTTATTTTCCAGACTGTCTAGACTTCTTCTCCGATTGCCTGCTCTTAGGCTGATGAGTGCTGCCATCACTGAAGAGCTGTTCTTCGCAGGACTAATTGGCAATGTTCAGATTGACAGCATCATCCCATACATTCTGAGAATGGAGACAGCAGACTACAACTCTCAGATCATAGGTCATGGTGTGTAAAAGTAGCAGTCCAGGATTCTGTACCATGGCAATCATGGTGATGTAAATGCTTACCCTGTCTCCAAGAGATGGTCATAAGCCTTCCAACGCACTTTTCCATAGAAGGCTCATATTCCTCCTTTCCAGTACACTTGGGAAACATGGTGGAGTGCATTAGGATATAGGATCACTTCCTATTCTTTATCTGTCTTCAAGGACTTGTAAATTAACTTGTTATCTGAAGAAGGTCAAGAATTGTCCATCCTATTTTTGTAGGTAGACGGACTTGGAATATTTGTTTATGAAGTTCAGGCTTATGAGGAAACTGAAGAAGCTTTGATTGAACTAAGGTATCTCAACTTAGTTTGATGTTTTAGACAAATAAATTAACTTTCCTCTCTGAGTTTTGTTTTCAGTGTTTTGCTGCTAGTTCTTTTTCACGTATCAAGTGGAAAATATATAGTCAAACATGCTGAAAAGGCCAGTTTCCATGCAGACAAGACCCAGCTTAGTTTTGGCTGTTGTTTTGAAGAGTGATTTGTTTCCTGCTGAATTAAACACTGGATATCATGCTCCAAGTGCAGGGAAATAGAGGACGTTCACATTTAAAAATATTCTGATGTTAACTTTGATGCAGCTGATCAAAAGAGAAGCAACAGAGTGACTGTTTTGCAGATGCAACAGAATACTGTATTGTAACAATAACATAGTAGGCATCAGCTATTTTATACTATGAAAAACTAACAGGGAAGTGTATACTGCAGGCATTCAAAGACAGCATACTCCTGCTTTTTCTGGTTTCAGAGCTTTTTCATACTACCCCTCCCTCTTTCATACTCAGTGTTCAGTGATGGAGGCATTCTAGATGCCACTAAGCTTTTGTCCTTGTCTTTATTTTTTGTTATGGCTAGCCCCTGGGGATGTAATTCTCTTTTCCAACCAGTCCTGTATGATTCCTTTTCAAATTTGAGTTTGTCTAATCCAGTGTCCTTCCATATGGGAGCATAGCCTCTGCTGCTTTTCCTTTCCTCATTAGAAATGGGTCTAGATACTCCATACATGTTGCCTGAATCATACTCTATAGCTCTATCTAAGGATGAGTTTAAATGCTCTTCTGTCTTGAGGATGTGACTCACGTGACAAATAAAACTGACATGCCCTTGCTTCTTGTTTCCTTGCAACAGGAAGTTAAGCATGTTTATTTCCTCTTGCTTAAAATGAGAGAAGTATCCCAGTGAAAATGATGGTCTTCTTTAGGCATTAGCACTTAGTATTTTCTGAATCTTGGGTCAAGGCTGAGTTCTATTTCGCATGACCCCTTTCTTTCTCTGGCAAAACTGAGTGAGGAAGAGCCTGACCCAATCAAGAAACACATGCCTGCAGCAGAAATTGTTTAGTCAGAAGATCAGATTAAATAGAGGCCTTTGCCAACTCTGCAGTGGCAGTTCCAATGCCACCCTAACATCAAGAGACTACAAGATGAGGCTTGGGTTCTAAAGTTCTTGAGTTCTGTAGTTTTTTCTCAGCATCCAAGGATTGCTACCAAATAAAAAACTTAAGAACTGCCTCTAACACTGAATTTCTGTGTTCTTCTTAATTCCACTAACTGAGCTGCTTGGATCTTTCTCTACCTAAGCTCCATAATCAAATACTGTATCATAGAATCACAGAATCAGATGATGGTTGAGGTTGAAAGAGGCTTTAAAGATCATCTAGTTCCAGCCACCTTTATGGTCAGGAACATTTTCCACTAACCAGGTTGCTCAGAGCCCCAGTCAACCTTGCATTGAATGCTTCCAGGAATGGGGTATTCATAGCTTCTCTAGACAACCTTTTTTCTCTCCACCCTTAAAGAGTTTCTTAATATCTCATCTAAGCCTCCTCTCTTTCAGTTTGAAGCCATTCCCCCTTGGCAGGTCGCTACATGCTCTTTAACAAAAAGTCTCTCCATCTGTCTTGTAGGCTCCCTCAAGGTACTGGGAGGCTGCAGTTGGGTCACCTTCTCTTCTCCAGGCTGAACAATCTCAGTTCTCTTAGTCTTTCCTCATGGAAGAGCCCCCACAGCTCCATGTCCTTCCTGTGCTGGGACCCCAGCGCTGGATGCAGCACTGCAGGTGGGGTCTCACAGGAGCAGAGCAGAGGGGCAGAATCCCCTCTCTCCTCTGCTAGCCACGCTACTTTGGATGACGTTTGGCTTTCTGGGCTGTGAGTGCCATGGCTGGGTCAGGTCCAGCTTCTCATCCACCTGCAGCCCCAAGTCCTCAGCAGGGCTGCTCTCCATCTGCTCATTCCCCAGCTGGGATTGATACCAGAGGCTACCCCAGGTGCAGCACCTTGCACTTAGTCTTATTAAACCTCATGAGATTTCATGGACCCATTTCTCAAGCTTGTCCAGGTCCCTCTGGATGGCATCCCATCCTTCAGGTGTGTCAAAGGCACCACTCAGCTTGGTGGTGCCTTTGACACACCTGAAGCAAATCTGCTGAGGGTGCTCTTGACCTCTTCATCTCTGTCATTAATGAAGATAATAATACTGTCCTTGATGTGGAACCCACATGTCACTGATGTCCCTTATCATTCTGAGCTACTGAACACTACCCTCTGGTTGCAACCATCCATCTACTCTCTTATTCATCTAACATCAAATCCATGTCTCCAGTTCAGAAAGAAGAATATTGTGGAGGATCATACAACACAATTGGCCTATTTAATCCCACAAATCAAAACACTTAGTGCTGAGGAGCCCTGATGGCATGCAACTATGTGTGTGGGCCTTTGCTGTGCCTTCTCTGTGTTGGAACTGGCAGTGGCAGCTGAGCTCTTCTCATGTGCCTTTTGAAGGTTGTAGAGTTCAAGTTCTTTATCTGTGTTTCCTGGAGAGCTGTATGAAAATTACCATCCTGTGCTTCAGCAGGTGTGCATCTCATCAGTAAAGTTTATAGAAATATGAAGGACTGCTGTTGCCAATGTGCTGTGCTTGTTCTCTCCCCATGGGTTAGAGGCCTGTTTTTGATCTGTAGGACCAAGTTGCAAATGGGAGGTTGATCATTCTCCAGTTCAGGTCTCCTCAGAAATTTTGACCCTGCTTTCTAGTCTCTTGCTATCCTAATCCACTTCTGGCCCTAGCAGACACAGGAGACTTACAGTCCTCTTACGTTAAAAGTTTAAAGGAAACTGACAACATATTACTCCTGAATATTTTGGAGGTAGTTTTCCAGGCATTCCACTAGTCTTAGAAGAGTTTTACTCTTAATATTCTCCAGATTTATGAAACCCAGGTAATAGTAAGATGGAAATAAAAACCTGCTTTCCTTTGTAATGAAGCACACTCTGCAAATCTCTCTCCCATCCTTGAAGAAATTTTTCACTCCACAGCTTGAGCCTCAGGTGTAATGTGGAATTCTTTGTTTACAGTTGATGAAAAGGTTCAGCTGATGCAGCCTCTCATGTGGTACTGTCCAGATTTGGAAACAGCTGAGAAAATATCAATGTATCTACAGATGTAAACTTTTAGCAATTGAATCCCTCAGTTCAGCCATCTTTATTGCTTGAAGGGACCTTGAAAGATCTTTCATTCCAGCCTTTCATGGGAACAGGACCCCAGAAGATACTATCTAGTATCCTGTCTAGTCACATCTTGCAGTGATTGATTGCTCTCAGCATGAGGAATATCTGTTATATCAGATTGTGAAAACTTCTTAAGGAGAGTTGCCTTGCACCAATGTCAGTCACTTCACTTAATATTCTAGGTTGGATTTCTTCTGAGCCCATGGATTTCTGTGGGTCAAGCCCTTGCAAGAAGCTGCAGGCCAGCTGTTCACCTATTGGTGTGTTGACACATGCACTCTTGTAGATGCTTGATTCGATGCTCTGCAGTCCAGCTGTGCTGGTAAAGATGGAAGCGAAGAAGATACTGAGAACCTCTGCCTTACCAGCATGACTAGTGAGTAGCTGCCCTGCCTACTTAGACAATGGCTCTATATCTTCCTTGTGCTTCTGCTTACTACTCACATATCTGTAGAAACCTTTCTTGTTATTCTTGACATCTTTGACCAATTTTACTTCTGTGTGAGCCTCAGCATTCCTGCCCACATTTTTGCATGCCGTAGCAAGGTTTCTACAGTCTTTGATGGGTATTTAGCTGCCTTTCCATAGCTAGTATGAGGGGGTTCTTTTCCTTTTTTTTTTTTTTAATTTTAATCAGAGCAGATGTCCTCAGAACACGATTTTCTCTGGATTCCTGTCTTTGTTTTCTCTTTGTGCTGTAGTGTGTTTGAATGCAAGTTAACTTCAGTTACATATGGACTGCAACTACCACAGACTGCTGGGTCAAGACTTTGTGCTTAGGATGTTAACTCATAAGCACAGAAACCTTGGTCATGTTTCACATGAGGTTGTTTAAATTCAGGTGTTTGTATATTGTGAGGGACAAAAAACCCCTGCAATTTAAGATGTTGGATACCTCTGACATTTGGACCTCTAAAGAGCCAAAGTCCATACATACTACACTTAGCAAACAACTCTGGCTACTGGTAAGTGACCTTTCTCCCCCCAAAGTTTTGCAGTTTTATGATAATAAATTTTCAAGACTGATGTAAAGGTGGAGTGCAGCTGATCTATGCTGCCTGCCAAGTAATCTGTTTTGTCTTTATGATGATCTAAAAGATGCATCCCATACAGGATTGTTGTGTCCGTGTTGCTCACTTTGCTCAGCAAGATCTTCATTAATTATTTCAAATTATTTCATTCATAATTCCTAAACTATAAATTCATCATTTTGATAAGGAATGAGGCACAACAGATTTTTCTCAGGAATGGGAGGTTTAAAATAGGTAAATACAGGAATCAACATGGTTTTTCCTTACGCATCTGTATTTACCATTACAGTCCTCTAAGAACAATGCAACAGCTCATGGAAAAAACCAAACCGTGAAGTTCTGGGTTTGTTCTTTCAGTTACTTTAAGATAACTGCTTCTAAGTTAAATGAAATATATCAAGTTACCTACAACTGAGACCCTTAGTGTTTCTAACAGTCATTTTTTGTGATTACATAATCTCACATTACCACCTGTGTCATTTATTGTCATTTATAGTCTTATGAATGAATATTCCTTGGTACTGAATGAGAGACTGACTAACATTACTGGGTTCTGTCAGTACCACTGTCGGTATGATGACAAAAATGTGAATATTGAAGCTTAATCCACCATGGATGTTAAACTATTTCATTGTTTTTCTGATTTCTTTTCAACTTTAAATTACTTGTCAGCTTTTTGATCTTTACAAGCCTTGAGAGTTTTCAGAGCCAGTCAGGATTTAACCAAATTGTGGAGTTTACCAACCAAAATCTTTTTGCCAATGAAAGGAGAAGTTTAATTTCAACAGCTTTAAATTTTCAATGTTGAAAGCAAGAAAAATCATTTTAATATAAATCACATGAAAGGAAAAACAGTTTTATATGTTTTAGAATCCTATAATTTAAAGACAATAGTACTGTTACACATAATAAACTTACTAGTTCAAATATTTTTCATGAGACTGTATGTTGCACACGTATATGTGGGTTTAGGTTGTTCGTTTCATACTGCTAAAGTTTCCAGTGCAAATAATTGTTATATTTTAAACTTTTTTCAAGAGTACCTTCATTGCAATACCTTCTGTAGTTACAAACCTATCTGTCCATACATTTATTCTTGTTGTGTGATCTTCAGGGTCAGTGAAAGTCAGTCTGTTGTTTTGAAATTGGTCCTGTGCGTTTTGTTCAGCCTTTGTGGTTTGCTAGTACATCAGTTTCAGTGTAAGCAATACAGTATCACTGTTGTCTTGTTGTTGTATAAAAAAATCATTTTAAATGTCTTGAAACCTGGCTAAATTAGAAAACTCTATTTTGGATGTATTTTTAAACATAAATTGTAAGTTTCTATTATAGAAAACAATTGCAATATCCTATTATTTGTTAGTGTTTTATACAGATTGTCGTATGGACCTAGAACACTGTATATGATTACAAATAGTTTGTGGATCTTTTACATTTTTATTATACAGTGGAGTGTTCTCCGTTATATTCAGTCTCTGGGATTTGTGGTAGCTGCAATATCTTGCTGTTTGCTAATATTTTTGCAATTAACCCTTTGTTTCCATGCTTACTACTTTCTGGCCTATGCATTTGACAATTAATAATTTATTGTAAAATTTAATTTACTAGTGTTTTGGTTCTTAAAATGCTGTATGGAAATATGTATTGTAATTAACCCCAGTCATGGATTTTCATGTCCTATAATGCAATAATGGATACTTGGAAATTAGTATTTGATTCATGATGGATCAGTTTTAGGTTGAAAGTTAAAGTATGGTTGAACAAAGTGTTTTTTCTTTTGAAAGAAACAGACTTTAGATATTCAAGTAAACTTATCTCAGTTTTAAATACTACTGGATAAATAATGAATTTATTAATGTTTAAAAATGTGAAATCAGGAGAAGTTTTGGTCTATTTCAGAACTGATTTCTCAATGATAGTTTTTAAAGTGTAAGGTTTTTAATTGTTGTTTTCTGTTATAAACGACTGTGGAATTTATGTGGATGTACAGATAACCCAGAACATCATCCCAAATGAGAAACTAATTGCCATTCTTTCCATGTTTAAATTCTGAAATTTTTTATCATGAAGTAAATTAACTGACACACTGCAGAGAAAATGTAAGGTACATTGGTAAAACATAGTTTGGATAATGCAATGAGTTTACGAGAGCTGGAAATTAGCATTTAGAGTCTCTTTCTCAAAAAAATTTTACTCCAGGCTCTATCTTGCCTCTGTTTTGAAGACTTAACCTTTCTTGGTACTTAAAATCACAGAATGGTTTGGGTTAGAAGGAGTCTTAAATATCACGTAGATCCAACCCCTGCAGTGGGCAAGGATACCTCCCACTAGACTAGATTGCTCAAAGCACCATGCAACCTGGCCTTGAACACTTCCAGGGATGGGGACAACCTGTTCCAGTGTCCACTACCCTTATATAGAATTTCATAGAATCTTAGAACTGTTAAGATTGGAAAAGACCTCTTGGATCATTGAGTCCTCATGTCCAGTCTAAATCTGCCCTCTTGCAGTTTCAAACCATTGCCCCTCGTCCTATCACAACAAGCCCTAATGTCTTTCTCTGTCTCTCTTGTAGGCCTCCTTTAATTGTTAAAAGGCCACTAGAAGCTCTTCTCAGAGCCTTCTCTAGGCTGAACAACCCCAGCTCTCTGTCTTCATAGGAGAGGGGCTTAAGCCCTCTGACCATTTTTGTGGCCCTCTTCTGGATCCACTGACTTCTACAGGGCCCTGTTCCCCACTCGGTCTGCTAATAAGCTACTCTTTCTTTCTTTCTGCTAGTAACATCCACAGCCTTCTGGCCACCTCTGTGGCATTTGACTTTTTCTGTCAACAAACATCCCCTAGCACCCCGTCTTGCCTTACCTCACAATACCTCTGTCAGATAACTCCAAAGAACATTTCTATTTAATCACAGAATCTGTCTATGATGAGCTGTTTTTTCTTTCTTCTGTTTTTCTTCCCATGTGTACCAAATCTTGTGTTAATACATGCTGTAGATAGCCTTACCCTTGCCCTGATGCACAATGGCTAAGAGAAAATACAACTTTCTCTTAGGTGAATCTTTATGAGAAGAAGGCAGGGTTGTGCATTTGGCTTGAATGCAAGAACCGATTGTGTCCTCTGAGGCATTGTGCTGCAGGTTCAAGTCATTTGGACTGTTAGAGCATCACCATCTTCAAGTATCAACATCTGGATGCTTAAGGTTTTCATGGCTGCTTATGCTGGTTGAACAAATGCATTTCCTGATTATTTTTTTAATAACTGGATCTTGTAGTAATGCTTGCCCAAATATATTTTCAAGTTAACTCTGCTTGGATTAAGTGGAAGTGGTGGGGTGCTGATAAGGAGACAGGAATATTTGTGTTCTGTGTGAAATGGTAGGGGGAAAGGGATAGCACAGAAGTGATGTTACGGGAATACTTTTAACTAAACTGTGGTGGATTTGCCTGTGACAACAGAGAAACCAGATGGAAATGCTCCACTCTGGGTTCTTCTGAGCTAATACAGTACATTTCACTCAGCAGAACTGTCTGCTGGACATCTAGAGAACCAAACTGCCATGCTCTGAACCTCCTGGCAATACCAACTCCCCAGACAAGAAAGTTGGTTGGCAAGCAGCCAACCCTGTGGCTTTGGGCCTTTACAAATCTGCAGTCCAGTCCCTTCCAAGAAGCAGTTCATGAGGTGTCTGAGCTCCTTTATGATGACTTCAGTTCTCCTGCATCCTAGGGTTTTTACCAAGGAGCAAACTGAACAGCCACGTAGTTTGGCTGATGAAGACTACCTGAGGAACAGCTCCAAAAGGAATTTTTCTTTCACCATGTAACCATGAGAATTTTGCCATTGGAAAATCAAAGATGAAGGTAGAGTTACTGCTGGACAAATAACCCACAAAGTGGCAGGTGTTTTCTAAAAGTGCCAGTAAATTTATTATTCTAGGGGTTTTGAGAGCTAAAATGTTCTCACAGTTTACATACTGAAATATTTTTGAAAATTATAAAGTATGTACCTTTTTGGTAATATTTCACTTAGTTCCAGGCTATGAAGTTATCTTCTAATTTTTTCAATCAATAGCACCCAAGTGACAAAAACTTCTTCCACTATGTTTTTAGGAAATATATATGGATGATAAGACTAAAAAATGTTTTAGTGAAAGCATTAGAGATTTCACTGTTTAGATTAAAGTGAGAGACACTGTGGTTAGTGACTGGATTAGACAGTGGATTGTGGAGATTTGTGTTGTGACTTGGACTTTGCTTCTGGAATTTTGCAGTTTTAGAAGGATGGGGCAGGAATAAGAGCATTGTATGCTCTTATTTGTCAGTCTTACGTTGGATTTTTTTTTCTTAATTTAATTAAGAAAATAATTTCCATTTTTTTTGTTTTAAATGCATGTTCCACAGTTGTGAACCACTGCAGAGTAAATTTACATGACTAAGAACAGAGGAAAGAAATAGCAGTGGAATAGGTAAATGTAATAAAAAGTTCTTCTAAGGTAAAATGTAAACACTAAATTATTCTGTAGATCAGTTGACTTTTGCACTTTCTGAGAAAATATGGATTTCAGTTTTTCAATATCAATTGTACCACTGAATAAAATTATTTAAAACTAAATTATGTAGGATTCAGTGAGATGGTTGTGTGCTAACAAAATGGAGGGAAGTTATGTGTCATCCTTTGAGTCATTCAGGAAACATTTATTTTTGAAAACGATGTTGTTTGTTATGCTCTATTAGGAAAGAGGCCAGTTACTTGTGTTCAGATTTGAAAGGGGTTTTTTTCAGGCTTGAAAAAGAGTTCTGGTGCTAATTTTTTGACATGTACTTGAACTAGAGGAGAAAAACAAGGCAGCATTAAATATATTTAGCAAGAGTTTTTGAGGCAGTGAGGTTCAGTGTTCTATTTTTGGGGTAAAAAAAAAGCAACATCTAACAAGTTAAGCTTAAAAATCCTGGGGATTAAATATTTCATATGGGTGCATGAGTTTGACAAGCACCTTAAGTGACAAGACAGCATTTCAGTGCTGTTTCCAAAGATGTCCCAGTAAATCCTTAGGAAGACATACTTGGATTTGCATTTTACTGTATTTAACTGTGACACTTGCACCGAGTTCAGGGAGAATTTTTGAACACAGAACACAGTAGTCAGGTTCTCTTTTTCATGCACAGTGACACATTAACAGAAGTAGTTTGAGTACATGTGATGAGACTTCAGCAGTTATGAGGTAATGAAATCCTCAATGGAGATGCCACTTCACTAAAGTAATGGAGAAAATAGTGCCAAAGAGATTTAAAATGCAATTCAAAGAACATGCTGTAAAATGTTCCTGCTACTAAGAAAGCATTCCCCACAAAATCTTTTGTAGCAACAAAGTCACATTAAGAAGCTGATCCATTCTTCCAGCTTTGTGTCACAATGCCTTGTCTTTCACACAGGATGCTTTCTCAGACAAAGAACCATGGTGCCTCATGGAACAGTGAAGTGATCCAGATAATTTTAACACTTGAGGGGAAAAACCCTTAACAAATAACTATACTATTTCACTGCTAGCAGAGAAAATGCTCATGGAATTATACTTGCAGTCAGTGAAAATTATCACTGTCACATTAATTAAAGGAATAGGTTTAGAAACTGGCATAAGCATTGAACCTATACAATGTTTCCAAAGTTGGCTTCCTAATTTAAACTGTATTTCTTCCATGTTTTATACTCCCATCATCATTTTTTATCAAAATAATGGTTATTGTGGATGAAGTTCAAGACAGTGAATTCTGACTGTAAGTGTTCCTTCCTGGTTTTAAGCCTGCTAATGTACATGTATCTGACCAAATTTTAATACATTTAATAAATTTTCTAAGACTTTGGACTGTAAAAACGCAAATTAGCTGCAACAAGTATACTGAAACCTAAGACTTGTCGCAAAAGAGATGCTGTCGTTCAATTAAGAAAAGAGCACAGAACCAGCAGGGTCTATGTTTTGTGTTTGAAAATAAAACCAGTTGCACTAAAACTAAAAAGTTTTGAGTGGAAATTCAGACCACTAGACTTTACATTGAAATTGATATATTTCTACACTGTGAACTTGGCTGGCACAGGTTTTTCTCAGTCTCATTCTCCTTTCAATTTTAGCCCTACCTACTTAATTTTTCATGGTGACTCCTCTGCTTCGTCCTTTCCCAAAACCCCAGTTCTGATAGTGACAGTGTCTAGCAGCTTGGCCTTTCCATGCCTGACAGCCGGTCTCTGCTCATCAGCCAGCACTGGTTGCAGCACTGATGATGTGTTTACCAGGTGCTTTTCCAAGTCCTGCCTGCTCTGACAAAGTACAATGGATCTAGTTTTGCCTGCCCTGTGTAACAGTGGCCTTGTGAAGGTCAGGGAAATAGTTTCTGCACCTTGCCTGCTCAGCCATGTAGCAACAGTAGTAAACTCCTGCCAGCATTCACAGCAGGGCAGTCAAAGGTCTTTCCTTGGGCTGGTGCAGAACCAGGAAAAGGCACTGGGACGAGATGGAGAAGTGGAGTGGACACATGGATGAGACGATAGGTACGCATTCCTTGATGGCCTGCCAGGGTTGGGAAAAGCCAGGAGAAACAAGACTTGAAGCTTTCCTCTGGCTGTCACTCGCAGTCTGCACCGGGTGAGATGTCACCTGTCCTGCCCCTTGATTCTTGATCCGGCCAGTCCTGGAGTCCTCACTGCCACGTCTGGGTAACTTTTCTCACCACACACCTTGTGACCTGTGTGAAATAAGGGACTGTCAGCAGACAATCATAAATTGTCTATATATTGTCAATTATAGAGAGGCTTTTCTCCCTGTCCTGACGTTCTTTGTATCGTGCTGGCCTTCACGTGTAAGCAGCAGGCAGCTGTACAGGAGCCCAGCTGCACAGACCGGGAGCCACACGGCAGTGTCCCCCGCGGCTGCCCTTCAGCGCCGCTAGCACAGGCCCGGGCCGCTCCCGCTGCCCGTTCCGCTTCCGCCGCGTCGCCACGGGCGGGAGGCGGCGCGGGGGGCGGCCCGCCCCAAGATGGCCGAGTACGTGCAGGTGCTGAAGCGGGCGCTGAAGCACATCGGCGGCCACGGCGGCGCCCGCGGCGCCATCCTGCAGCTGCTCAGGTAACGCGGCGGCGGCGGCGGGTCACCCTGGGCGGCGGCGGGTCACCCTGGGCGGCGGCGGCGGGTCACCCTGGGCGGCGGCGGGTCACCCTGGGCGGCGGCGGCGCGGGGCCCGGGCGGCCTCGGGAGGAGCTCGCCCCGCCCCGCCCGGGGCGGCGTGTCCCGGTCGGCCGTGGGTGCTGTGCTCAGAGCGACCCGCGGGCAGGGCTCACGGCTCTTCTCTTGAGGCACCTTACGCGGTTCCTGGATGCTGAGCTGTCGGTGTTGCCCGGGCCGGTTGTCCTGGTGCCCAGTCCCAGTCCGTAGTCCTGTTGCTACAGCCGTGTCTGCTGTAATGCACTCAGTGCTTCTGTGTGCACCATCGTGCTCTTTGCCCTGGGTAACCTCAGGCTGGCAGTGCCTTTCTTGAACAGTACAAATCTGATATCCTTGCATTGCTGAANGAGCTCGCCCCGCCCCGCCCGGGCGGCGTGTCCCGGTCGGCCGTGGGTGCTGTGCTCAGAGCGGCCCGCGGGCAGGGCTCACGGCTCTCTTCTTGAGGCACCTTACGCGGTTCCTGGATGCTGAGCTGTCGGTGTTGCCCGGGCCGGTTGTCCTGGTGTCCAGTCCCAGTCCGTAGTCCTGTTGCTACAGCCGTGTCTGCTGTAGTGCACTCAGTGTTTCTGTGTGCACCATCGTGCTCTTTGCCCTGGGTAACCTCAGGCTGGCAGTGCCTTTCTTGAACAGTACAAATCTGATATCCTTGCATTGCTGAAATCCCGTAGTGTAAAGCAAGAGAATTACTTCATCTGCCTTACTGGCTCCCTTTCATCTGATTCGCTTCAAAGTGCAGATCACTTTGCTCTTTGGCAGCGGATTGTCACTGCTGACCTATGCTCAGCTTTGGATGCCGTCCAGTCCCAGTGGCATTTAGTGCAAAATAAGTTGCAGCCTTTGTTTCCATTCATGTCTAAGTGCTTTCTTCCCCAACTACAGAACCTTGTACTTGTCCACATTAAACTTTCTCCTGTTTTTTTTTTCCCCCTCAGTTACATATCGCTTTCTTGTGAAAAGTGTTTTGAATTGTGATACAGTATGCTTGAAGCTGCTCCCAAATAGGAGTGTCAGGTTTACAAAGGTACTCTTTTTTCCATTCAGATCCCTGATGAAATGTAGGGTGCAAGTCTAAATACTGCATGATCCAAATTCAGCAGTGTCAATAACCTCTGTTATCTTTACAGTTAAGTCCTGGAAAAGTATTAGGACATATCCGTAAATGTTTTAGGCCTGACCACATGCTAAAAAGCCTTTTCTTAATCAATATTGGGAAGTTAAGAATATGGGATAGGAGTGATTTGCAAATATAAAATATCCTGCTATATATTAAGGGCTTTCTTATCTTAGAACAAACAAGCCAAGCTTTCTGAGCCTTCTTGAAGGCTTTCCTTCTGCCCATACACATCATAATGGCCCTTTTTCTGTTATTTCTTGTGGCTTAAATTGACCTGTTTTGAGGAGTTAAATATAACCTTTTACACACGTGCTGATCAGGCCTCATTAGTATTTTCATATAGTGGCTTTAGTCCCTGCCCCAGAGCAGTAAGACAATACATGGGTTTCCTAGCTAGTGCTTTACTGCTATTATAATTACTTTCTTTCTGTCACATACCTACTCCCCCTCCCTCCCCCAGCTTGTTTCCTCCACTTTGTTTTCCTTCTCAGGCTGTAGCTATTACTCTGAGAGTTCTCAAGAAGAATGGAGCTGGGGAAATGAAAGTGTGGAAGAGTTTGAGTGTTAGGTGTCATCAGAGTGGTTCCTTCCTAAGCACAGCTTAATAAATGTCTCCTCAGAGATCTTTTGTGAGTCTGAGATCACAGGCTGTGTTGACACCTTTTTACCACACAGAAAAAGAGGGCAGGCAAGACTGGAGGCAGTGCTGTCCTTTTTTGCCTTCAGAAGGCTGAAGTTAGGTGTGCTAGGTGGGGAGGCACAGCCAATCCTCATAACCACACCAACCACAAACAACTGCTGCCTCCTGCTCACCTTTCAAGACATTAAATCATCCATCCCAGCTCAGGAAATAGGTTTGATGTTTAAAGGAAGAGTTATCAAGGTGTTCTTTCTTGCAACAGTTGATTTTAATCACTGGTAACTGGAAAAAAATCATTCACCCAAGTCAGGAGACTCTTTCTCTGAATTTCACTGCTTTTCTCTATGTGTTTTCCGTTGAAGCAGCTGCAGAATATTTATATGCTATGAAGTCAAATTACTAAGAGCCTTTCTGGCTGGAAACATTCTCCTTACTTAAAATTCAGTTAAAATGGTTGGAAAATATTCTGAGGAAGCCATAAATACCTTTTAGTGTCTGATATTTGTATTCAGGGCATGAAGTCAAGACAAGGGCATAAGAGCACTGCAAGAAAGGGAGGGGGAAAAGGAAGGGAGAGCAGCAGTGGAATGGCTCTTCTTTTTCTGAAGCTGGAAACTCAGGCTTCCATAGTTGAGCCAGAGATCTTTGAATGTTTCAGATGAATGTGTCAGAGAATTTCTCTGCCTGCCACCACAGAGGTTTAAAACGAGTACTTGCTGGAATGATTATTACTTTCATGCACCCTGGGAGGAAAGACAACAAAAAAACTTCATCTGAGCACATTCCTCCTCTCACTTGGGATTGAGTTGAGAGTGTGTATAGTACTACAAACAACTAAAACCTTTGAGAGGAAACTTTTCCCTATCTAATGCTGCCTAAGTTGAATATCAGTAAAAAGAAAAGCAAAATTACAAATATAGAGGGAGAAGTGCACTTTGATTAAGGTTTTATGACTAGGATGGAAATCATAGGCTCAGTTTAATGATTGATTTCTACATAATGTAAAATATGTTCTATATAAAGAGTTGAAACTCGTATATACCTTATCTGGGTCAGTGTAAGTCGCACAGAGTTGCAGGGTGAATGCATGGATCTTTCACAATTATACAATAGCAAGAAAGTAACAATTATAGCTTAGGGTTTAGCATGTTTCCTTGGCAAGGAGCTGCAATGGCCTAAAATATTATTACTATTCCTCTCTTCGAGGTTACTGCCCACACAGACATATGAGGTATCTTGTGTTGCTCCAGTGCTGACCACCTGGGCAATTCAGGCTGAAATAGTAGCTGCTAATGGTTGAGAAGGATGGTAACATTTCCTACTAAGTGGATTAACATATGCCTCTGGGACTCCCACAGTATTTAAGGTTTTGTGGGTGTTAAATTGTTACATTGTATCTATTATAACAAGCTGTTAAATAAAGTGAGAGTCCCTGAAAGCCTTTTCGTATGTGTTTTATCATCCTGTCAGTGGGGTGCACATTAATTGCAGGAAATGGTCATTGTTTTGCAATCCATAAGCTTGAATAGTTTTTTTAAAAAATATCTTTGCATACATGTATACAGATTTTTACTAACTCTGAAGAAACCTCTGTCACAATTTCATTCTGAGAGGACACCAACTGAAACTGTTGTTTTGATAATTCACAGGGTCAATGACTTGAAGACTGGTAATCTGATAGGAATTGACAAATATGGAAACAAATACTACGAAGACAAAAGAAACTTCTTTGGTACGTGTGCCAATGTGAACACCTCCCAGCCAACTGTGCAGCTCCCACATAGCTTGAGTTCTTTCTGCTAGTGAAATGTGACTTGTTGCCTAACTTCCCTGCACTTGTCTTGTGTGAGTCTTAAGACTTACAGAAATGCTTTGACAGCTTTTGTTTCTCTGTTGCATCCCTCAATTCATTTGGAAACACAGTCAATCTGAAACAATGAATATGGGATAAATATAAGCCCATCATACGATCTCAGTGTAGGTAAAGCTATATGATAATGGGATTGAGAGTTGAATTTGGTCCTTGACCTAAAGGCTGTAGTTTGACAGGTTGGGAAAGAAGGAGAACTATATTTAAAACTGCCTCACAGCTTTACTCACTTATATGATCACTTCAGGACAAAGAGCACAGGCTGGTTTAAACTTACTATTACATGAAGTAATGGGATTTTAAATCAAGCTTCTAGAGTAATTTAAAAGGCAGCACCTAAAGCAACACAGGTGACACATAAGCAATTGACACGCTGGTCAGGCCAAGCTAACTGCTGACTGTAGGTTAACTTGGAGTATAACCAGGGAAAGCACTTGCTGATTAACACTGCTTGGTAGTTTTGTGTAACTGAAATTTAGTTTAGTCTTAGATTATCAGTGGAAATGTCCCTTCGGAAAAGACTCCTCATAACAGAGGAAAAATAAAACCCAAACCTGTTTCTCTGCCTGAAAGTTTTATAAGTTCCTATTTCCCAGTATTTATACTATAGCAAATATTTCCTACCTTATGAGAGTGTTAGATTTAGTCATCTAAAACTACAGTAACAGTGGAAATACAGAAGACTTGGAAAATAGAAGCTGTGCTGGTTTAAAAATAAGTGCCCATTATGGTAGATACTGTCAGTCAAAACGTTTTGCCTTGGTTTTCCTGAATTTTCTCCTTTATAAGAAAATATTTTTTTTAGCTAATATGATATTTATGTTTGTTTACTTAAGGTCGGCACAGATGGGTTGTATATACTGAAGAAATGAATGGCAAAAATACCTTCTGGGAAGTTGA